GGCTCCTTCCTCTCTGATGACTCTAACTTTTGTCAAGTTGACACACAAAACCAGCCAGTACAACTGAGCCTTTGTCACCTTGACACACAAATATCACCATTAAGCCACACACACATCCCTTTCTCATTCATCTCCAAGATCTCACATTAAAATCATAAATAACTTTAAAAGTCCCACAGTCAGCTGGGCAGTGGTGGCGCATGCCTTTAATCCCAGCACTTGGGAGGCAGAGGCAGGTAGATTTCGGAGTTCGAGGCCAGCCTGTCGAGGCCAGCCTGGTCTACAGAATGAGTTCCAGGACAGCTAGGGCTACACAGAGAAACCCTGTTTTGAAAAACAAAAAAAAAAAAAAAAAAAAAAAAATCCCACAGTCTTTACAAATTCAAGTGCATTAACATTTCAATCTTTTTAGAATACCTAATCTCTCTAAAAATCCAAATCTCTTTTAAAAGTTCAAGGTCTTTCAGCTTTGGGGATCTGTAAAAATCAAAATTAATTAAATATCTTCTTCAAGAGGGAAGAACCGGGGCACAGTCACAATCTGAATCAAGTAAAACTAAACTCCAACAGCATAAATAATTCAAGGTACAATGTCTGGAATCCACACATAATCTTCTGGGGCTCCTCCAAAGGGCTCAGGACACTTCTCCAGCTCTGCCCTCTAGCACACAGCTTGTCTTCCAGGCTCTGGCTAGTTTCACTCCACTGCTGCTGCTATACTTGGTGGCAGCCTCCATGGTACTGACATCTCCAAAACTCCTGAAGTCCCTTGCTGCAAACTGGCTGCACTTTCACCAAAAGCCTGTCGTAGGCTCTCTTTCTGGCATCATGCTTAGACATCTTTGAATAACTCATTCGGTCTTGGATATTCAATTGCACTGAGGCTGCACCTTCATCAGTGACCTCTCTCGGTGCCAAGTCTCAGCTGCTCGATAAGACCCCTTCATCCTTTCAGAAATGGTACCACCTGGGTGACTTTTACACATCCCCCAAGTCCAGTTTACCACAAGGTATAACCTTGGCCGCCTCTGGAACACAGCTTCTCTGAGCTCTCAGTAAATATGTCACCTCATCTTAACCACCGCTAATTTCTTAGCTCCAGATAACCAACATTAATTGTCCCAGGAACACCAAGGTTTTGCTTTAATAGTTCTGGTATCTTGTTAATCACAGCTAATTCTTCAGCCACAGCTAACCAGAACCACAGAATCGTAAATCAAAATAGGAAACAGTCCTGATAGAGTCTTCCCTCTGAAACTTCACAAGCCAGGCCTCCATTCTCTGCACTGTTCTCAAAATTATCTTCCAAGCTCCTATAGAACCTTCCATTGAGGTTTCAACAACCAATGGGTTTTTCTAGCTTGAAGTTCTGAAGTCCTTCCACAATCCTCCCCAAAACATGGTCAGACCTGTCACAACCATATCTCACTACATTGGTACCAACTTGTCTTAGGGTTTCTATTGCTGTGATGAAACACCACGACCAAAAAGCAAGTTGGGGAGGAAAGGGTTTATTCAGCTTACACTTCCAGGTCACAATACATCATTGAAGGAAGTTGGGACAGGAACTCAAACAGGGCTGGAACCTGGAAGCAGGAGCTGATGCAGAGGCCATGGAGGGTGTTGCTTACTGGCTTGCTTCCTCTAGCTTGATCAGCCTGTCTTCTTATAGAACCCAGGACCACCAGTTCAGGGATGGTACCACCCACCATGGTCTGGGCCCTCCCCCATTGATCAATAATTGAGAAAACGCCTTACAGCTGGATCTCATGAAGACATTTCCTCAACTGGGGCTCCTTCTTCTTTAATGATTCTAGCTTGTGTCAAGTTGACACACAAAACCAGGTAGTACAACAGGTGAGAGGTGTATACATTGTTTTAGCAGAATAAAGAACTGTCTAATTAAATAACATCCAACTAAACACAAGCAGGAAGCAGAGCAAGGGGTTGATCAGGGCAGAGAAGGCTAGAATTTCACGGTAGACAGGAAATTCACTGGCCAAGAGCCCAAATAACAGGCTGTGGGTCAGTCTAGAATCATGAGTTACACAGATAAATTGTAAAAACATTGAACAAGAGTTTGTTAATAATAGGCACGCAATGGAGTTTGGTAGCTACAGCTGGTATCTGTGTCCTTGTAGGCTCTGTTGAAGGACACAGTGGCACCTGCACTATCGCAGGGGTTCACGGAATGCCCACTTCTAGAATCACCCTCAGTCTACAAGGGACAGGGTGGCGTATATTCTGGTCAATGTTAACTTGTATTGGGAAAAGCTTGTGGCTATGGGGTTGCTTAGAAAACTTATCAGCCAATGAAGGAGCTGGGTTTAGAAAGCCAGGTCCCCGGAGGGAAAGATGGCTCAGTGGTTAAGAGCATTGGCTGTCCTTCCAGAGGAAGCACTCACTGCATCACAACTGTAACCCTATGGGATCTGACACCCTCTTCTGGCCTCAGTGGTTACTGCATCTATGTAGTATACAGACAAAACACCCATATACATAAAACCAAACTGAACAAAAATTGTTAGGGGGGAAAAAAGGAAAGCTAGATCTCTTGGTCTCCCTTGGTCTGGACCCCAGCCTCATTTCAGGGGAGTCCCACTGCTGGGTGTGGAGTAATATCAGCATCCAGGCTGGTACTGAGTGGCCGTACTGATAAGAATCCACTGCAGGACTGGGGGTGAACAGCACACGAGCGCCACCTAGTGGTGGAGAAAGCATCCTGTCGCCACCTACTCTAAAAGGCATGAGAATTACATCTCAGGGTGGCTGTCCAAACATGCCTTTATGTTCAAAGGTGGATTTGGATGCAGATGGGTCCCTGAGAAACAGTGTATTTTGAGACAGGCTTTCACCCTGTAGCCCAAGGTTGGACTGAAATTCACTGAATAGCCTAGGATGGTTTAGACCCCATGGCAATCTTGCCTCAGCCTCCCAAGGGCTGGGGTCACAGGTGTGAGTCACTAGGCAGTGTGACAGACTCTCTTAGTTTTACTTATTTGTATATGTGTTTTGTCTGCATGGGAGTTTGTATACATGAATCCAGGTGCTCACAGAAGCCAGGAGAAGGCACTGGATCATCTGGAACTGGAGTTACAAATGACTGGAATACCCCATGTGGGTGCTGGGAACTGAATTGGGATCCTCTGGAATCCAGTATGCCATCTCTCTAGGCTTCCGAGGGACGATTCAGGAGGCTAATATAGATGTTAAAAATAGATCCATAAACACTCAGGAGCTGAAGAGTTGAGGAAGGACATGCAGACATGCAGGAGGAGCCTATGAGGACCAGGCTGGACTTGAACTCCTGGCAATCCTCTTGCCCCAGCCCCCTCCCTTTTTTTCCTGAGACAAGATCTTACCACACAGCCCTGGCTGACCTGGAACTGGCTAATGTAGATCAGACTGACCTGTAAAGTCACAGAGATCTGCTGGCTTCTGCCTCTGTCTCTCCAGTGCTAGGATTAAAGGTGAGTATGACCACGCCCAGCCCTTGCCCCTTTTAACTTCTATTTCATGGATAAATAAAACCAGTGTGCTCAACTGGAGACCAGAAGGGAAGATGCACCGTTTCTTTTGGAAGAGGCCAAGACTGGCTGCTTGGCAAGGGGAAAACCCAACAAGATTGCTTTATTATTATTAATTTATTTATTTATTTTGTACATGTGAGTACACAGTTGCTATCTTCAGACACACAAGAAGAGGGCATCAGATCCCCTTACAGATGGTTGTGAGACACCATGTGGTTGCTAAGATCTGTGAGAGCAGGCATGGAGCCATTTCTCTAGCTTGGGTTTGTTTGTTTGTTTTATTAACCAGTGAATAGCTGCAAATACAGTCATTAGAGTGTATGGTGGGGCCTCTGTGTTGGAAGAATCTACCTACCATCTTGGTAGTTTATGGGAACTGTGATCTCCCACTGTGGAGGGGAAGACAGTGCCGGACCCTGGCTTTCCCAGCCTCCTTTGCTCCTCCCAGACTACTCACACCTGTTATTCTGGGACTCAGTGGAGATCAGAATGGAAGTTCCTGGAAGGAGGGGCCGGTGACTGTAATGAGATCATAGAGTTCTGGGGCATCGACCTGGTCTCCCTCCCTCCCATCCTACTTGTCAGTACCTTTCTAGCTGCCCAGAGGCCAACAGAAAGAACTACTTACTCACCTTGTAACCAGAAAACAGAGGAAGAGGAGGTACCCAAATTCCCTCAAGGGCACACTCCAAACTACCTGTCCCCCCTTCCTTGCATCGCCACCCACAGGCCTTAGCTCTTGAGGTCTCTGCCACCTCCCAGGAGTGTCCTTCTGGGGACCAACCCTCAATAGGCTCTCTGTCTCCTGAAGATGTAGCTGGGTTCAAGATTTAATCCTTGAAAGGTATGACCACAAGTCTCAGGACCCTCCTAGGTGCCACAGTGTCTGACAAGATGTTCTGGGGATCCTGAGGTGCATGCTTTTTAAACAGCCCTTGTCTTGGGCAAGAGCCCGGGGAGCCTCCATGACTTCTCTAGCCAGGAGGATGAGGAGGCATAGGGAGATTTTAAATTGACTGCAGGTTGCACTGGCACATCCCGTGGGGACACAGCTGTTGTGTGAGCTGCTATCATGTTCCAGGTCTTTCTTCAATAGCCCCCAGGAGGATGTTCTAGCTCTGGAACCTAGCTGTAGATGCCGGGGAGCCATTGTCTAACAAGCTTAGCCAGCTGTTCCGGCCATGCAGATGCTGTGGCTCTGAAGCTGGTGGCCCTGGGTCCTTGCTCTGAGTGGCATTCTAGTCTTTAAGAAACGAGGCAACTGGGCTGGAGGGATGGCTCAGCAGTTAAGAGCAAGAACTGTTCTTCCAGAGGTCCTGAGTTCAATTCCCAGCAACCACATGGTGGATCTGATGGGGATCTGATGCCCTCTTCTGGTGTGTCTGAAGATAACAACAGTATACTCACATACATGAAATAAATAAATCTTAAAAAAAAAAAAAAAAGAAAGAAAGAAAGAAACAAGGCAACTCCCAAATCTAAAACTACCTTTATTTGTGGTTGGCTCAGCATAAGTCGACTTCATCAATGAGCAGAATTATAAAACTGTACAAGAGGTAAAAAAATAGGCCGTTTAACTTAGATAATGATCCTCATATCATGAGCTTTAAAAATACACATAAAAGTTGTACAATCTGGCAGTTTATAAAATATAAAGCTAAAAAGAATATTTTAGTTTCCACAAAGAGGAGTGAATCACACGATCAGCATATATCAATTAAACAATTAACTGTTCACAGAGAAGACACACATGGCACAAGATTTTTTTTAAAAATCATCTAAAAATTAACATTTTACCCAGACCAAATTATTCACCCTTTAAAGACAAGGCTACCATAAGGCGGCAGGATACAGTGTAACTTTTCCTTTTCCAGTTTTAGAATGGTCAGGGGTATTGTCCAAAATAGGTCTGATGTGCTTTAAGCAAGTGCAATTGTAACCGGATATACTTCAGAGTAAAAATTAAATAAATATAAATAGATTCAATAAATATGTCATTGTAAAAAGAACTACACAAGGTCTTGCTTCACGTGGGGAAGCCACACAGCTGGCTGGTAATGCTTAGGGGAGTGGGGAATCCCCAGTCACAGTTTTAGGGACAACTGGGAAGGAATACTATACCCACCAAACACAAGGGAACCGGAGAGATGAGGCCACAGGACTCTGGCAAGCAGTGTGGATAAGGCTGCTCCAGGGGGAGGTCAGCACAGATGTGCTTCTGTGGCTTTCTACTAAGTACAGAAGAAACCTAAGTGCAAAAGCAACCAGATTTACACACGGAAATTCACTAGTTCATCATGAAAACCAAGTATGGGAGAGCAGGCACTTTGGCTTAAAAGAATTGAGATCTCAGTAGAAGATCTGAAAACCTTCAGGAGAAGCTGATGTCAGGCCCCAGGAGGCCAACACCATGGCTTCCAGACATGAGGGATGGACAAGGACAGAACTGCTGGAAAACCAATCACAGAGCAGGGTGAATTTCAAGAGGCTCTCTCCAGAGCAGCTATTGCTTGCACTTCTGGCTCTTCCTACACCTCTGGACCATGATGATGAAGACGATGAACACAGAGCAGACCCAGAAGCAGACAAAGGAATCCTGGCACCACTAGAGAGCAGGCCCAAAGCCCTGCAGATGACAAGCAGGGGCCAGCACAGGAGAGCTTGCAGCCAGAGGTGGCTCTGCAGTGGTCACAGAAGCAACCAACTGATTAGCCTTTTACTTTGGGAAAAATTGCTGCTGCAGCTAACTGAATCACGTGCACACAAAACCTCCACAATGTCAAGTGGACTCTGAGGAGCGTCTCATGCCTATTTTTATTTTGGTGGGAACCACTCAACCACACCCAGTGATCTCAGACCTCCATCCTCTCTGTAATGCATCATGGGAAAAGCTTGCAGCTACTGCTGTATCTAGAGCAGGGACACCTCTGCAATCAGGGGTTCACCTTCAGTCTCTAGGTGGCCTAGTGATTCATCAAGTGACATCTATGTTCCCAAAAGTGCAAGTGCTTTGGTACCTAACGAAACGGCACACTTCCTAAACTGAAAGTTCAACACAAGACAAGATTTAAACAAAAATAACATCACAGACACAGCTCAATTCCATCCTAAAGATGAAGATGCTGTACTTGTAGACAAACTGGCAGTCTTCTGGGGATCCTAGCAGCCTCTGTGGATATGTAATGCTACAGAGTTGCCCTGGCCTAAAGACAATGTCTCCTGCTGAGCATCCCAGACACCCAGTGTTTTCATGATCACCTAGAGGACAGACAGACAGACAGACAGACAGTGAGCTGACCAGTCCTGACTGATTCTGAGATGGGACAGTTTTAAGGCACAAGCAGGGCAAACCCCAAATACACACCCTTCCTGACCACTGGAATTTTCTTTCTGCCCTGACACCTGTGTGCTGCTGACTCTCATGAGGCTTCAAACGGCAGAAGTCTTCCCTGCGTTCTCCATCTATGTCCCAAGCGTCTCACAGCCCATCCAGCACTACAGAAAACTAGGTGGGTTTTCAAATAAGTATGATGAACAGAGGATTTCTGGAAATTTGATTGGTTAGAAACTGATCTGAGAAGTGGCAAGGACATTTGAAAAGCTGACTCCATGCGAACTGGAAGGTAAAACCAAGCTGAGCCTTTAGGAAACTGCAGCACTTCCCAGAGGGAAGCTTAGCCATGAGGAACAGGGCAAGCAGCAGTCCCCGCTACACTGTTCCTCCTCCTCATGTTGGTCTTGGCTGTCACCTCTTGTGCCAGTGACAAAGTGCTATGCTAAGAGGTGAGCAGGAAACCAAATGTGGGGCTGAGGTCCCAGGGTCTAAACAGGGTCACCCGTGAGGTCCAAAGATGTAGGAGGTTAAGAAAAAGTCCTCTTTGGCCACCATGAAAGTAAGAAAATCAAAATTTTCAGCAGCAGCAGAGGAAGCTTTGGGTAAGTGGCCCTGGTACTAGTACACCCAGAAGAGCTCTTAGGGGACGCAGTGGTGGTGACTGCAGTCAGTGCAGTGCATGAGGCTGCTGAGGCCACTGTGAGCACAGAACAAAATGGAGCCTCAGCTCCCCAGGACTATACAACAGAAACGTCGGCTGTCTCCAGGGAGCCTACACAGAAGCTCCATCACAGACCCTGACTGCACTCTAACCTCTAAGGTTCCTGGGAGGAAGAAGACAACAAATTCTGACTGGAACTAAGATTTAAAATTAAGTTGAGAGAAAAATGGTACTGATGTAATTACTTTGACATTAATACATTTACACAGTGTTGCTAGAGAGTCTTAGTCCTCAGCAGTACATGGTTTTACATTCTTGAGGGACTGGTGATTTTTGGTACCACATAAAACAGAAGATATTATATCTTGCATTTCTTCTTCACAAGCATCAAGCTACATTTAATTTACTTATGCAAACGTAGCTTTCTGCAATATGATCAAAACTCACTTATTAAAACCTGCCAGGAGACACATACAAGCTGGCCTACAAAGCCTGTGGTAGCTTGACCTTGGCTCTCTACCCGCAGGGCTTTGACTCACAATCTATGCACTAATCTGCTGGGCTCTAGGGTAGAGGGACCCTATCACTCACCTTCTGGTTCTGAACTTCTCTGAGTGACTGGGAGGCTCCCTCTAGTTGCTCCTCTCTGGCCCTGACAACCTGTCTGCCCCTGTCCAGTCTTAGCTGCCTCCTGTTGGCCATGAAACTCTTCATCTCTGGCCCGCATGGCCAGGATTCAACCTATCAGGGGCCACTATTTAGGCTGCTTGTGCTGGGCCAGCACCACATCCAGAACTGAGTGTCTGCTTCATCTTCCAGACAGAGCCACTGACACGTCAGGTATCCACAGGCATTGCTAACACGTCTCCAGGCCCACGCTCACAACTGGCGGCACGAGGCAACACAGGCTCTCAGGAACTTGGAGGTGCTTCCTATCTCCATGGCAATGCCTCGAACATCTCTTCCTCAGCACCCCACATCTCTCAAACCATTTCTATCAGAGGCTGCACTTGCTGTACCCCAACCAAGCTGCTTCCAGCATGCAGGCAAAACAGGATCCCTCCACTCTCTCACTGAAAGGCCCCCAAAATGCCATCCCACAGGAATTTTAGAAAGAAATAAAAGTGGAAATGAGTTCGTCCAGTGAAAGGTTGATACTGTTCCTTTGCAGCCTCTGGGACAGGCCCACCTTTGTAGATACCCCTGACTACAAGGTTTCAGGGCGGCATCTCCTCAGGTCTCTGTAGTCACGAGCGACCATCTTCTCCTGCTTCCTAGGATCAGAATTATCCTCTTCTGGCGGCAGATCAGCAGCTCAAGGCACTTGATTTGAGAAGCTTAGTCTTCCTGCTGCTAATCCCAGAGGCAACAAACTATGACTGCAGAGATCAGGCCCATGGTCATTGTTGGGGCCACCAGACCAGAGGACTGCCCTAGCTCAGAGGGCATCTGGAATCACTGGAGGCTGGGGTTCTGTGGGCTCATGCCAGTAGTAGGTCTGGAAGAGTCTCTCATGTCTGCACAGCTCCATGGCTTGGTAGGTGTGAGAGAGGAGGTGGGGGAAGCGGGACGTGAAGTAGCGCACAAAGTCATCAGGCATGGAGCCCAGCGTCTCCTGAACCTCCACAGGAAGCTCCCGGTAGTGGTGTTTCTGTGAATGAGCAGACAGACACAGCTTTAGCAGCCGATAACAGTGCTAAGGGCTTCTCTGTAAGGAAAGGACAAGAGATGCATGCACCACGGTACATCCCAGTTGTCTTGCAGCCTTTCTTCCTTCAAAAGTAAAGCTCAAAGCATCCAAGGCTTGGCTTATGGAGAGTGGGTTTGATTTCACTAGGGTGCTGGCTGCCTGGAAGGGGGCGCAGGCCTCCTGTGAAGGTCATGAGAGTGTAGTGTTTTTGCCAACAGGCTCAGAGGCTGCTTCTGTGACTGAGGTCTGCACTGTGTGAAGGCTCCTGAGCGACAGCATAGGTCAAGAGCATCCCTAGGGTTCCAAGAGGACATAGAGGGACCCTTCCCAAATCACTCAAGATCTGGCATTATACAGGAAAGTAACCAGGAGTCCCTGTTAACCAGTCCCTGTAACCAGGAGAGTACACGGTGGCTGTCAGGCACTCAGAGGATACCATAAATCAGCAGAGACCATGAAGCACACATGTCCCAAGAGACTAGTCCTTACAGCTTAATCCTGCATTCTAAGTCTTTGGAGAGAAATTCCTTGAGAGAAAACATGGCCTTTTTACTTGGTGCTGTGGTTGGAATGAGAATGGTCCCTATAGGCTCATTTATTTGAAGGTGTGGTTCCCCAGTTGGTGGACCATTTAGGATTAGGAGGTGTGACCTTGGAGGAGGTGTGGCCATGTTGGAGGAAGGTGGGCTTTGAGGTTTCAAAAGTCCATGCAAGGCCCAGTGTCTTTCTCTACCTCCAACTCGTGGATCAGAATGTTAGTTCTCAGCTACTGCTTCAGCCCCACGCCTGCCTGTCTGCTGCTATGCTCCCTGACATGATGGTCATGGAGCCATGCTCTAAAACTGTAAGCAAGCTCCACTTAAAATGCTTCCTTTGTTTATGGTGTCTCTTTACAGAACAGAACAGTAATTAAAATATTTGTCAAACCCAACTGAGGCTGCCCAGCCTCTACAAGGTAGGAACCACTGTGAGAAAAAGATGCACAGAAATGAATATAAGGCAGCAATCTCTGCTGTAGCTAACTTCCCCAAAGTCCTCGTAAGCCCTGTACCTTATTTCTCATGGCTCGGAGGAGATCTCTGACAGAGCCACCTTTGTAGGTTCTGAATTTGCGCAGATCTAGAGAAAACATTAAGAGATGTGATGGTTAAGCAAGTACATTTTTACAGAGAATTCCCGAGCTCTTGCAAGACTAAAATGATACAAACTCTCAGTCAGGACGAAAGATGCTACCTCTCAGACCTACACAAAGGTGGTGCTCATCTGGAGTCCAGCATCTGAGAGCACAGTGTCATAACCAACCTGCCACTCAAAGGACACTCATAAAACTGCATCCTTGGACCAAGCCCACACGGACATGCTCAAGTAAGCCTCAGATCCAAGAAGAGGGACTCGGAATTCCAACAGTGGGAGCTGAGCTGTCTACATCTATTTCTCAGAAACAGCTGCAGCATTCAAAATGTCTCCTCCCACCTTTAGCATGGTCACCTGTCTGCAGGGGGACAGTGATGTTCTCCCGCCAGTCCATCTTGACCACAGCTCTCCCGCCTCTCTCCAACTGCCGGACGATCGGGCCATCCAAGGCCTCCTTTTCTATTCGGTCACTCACATCCTGTGAGGGAAAACAGGCAACAGGTGCTGGTCAGGGTAGGGATTTGGGGTTTGTCCACACTAAGCTACAGAGCAGGCACTGGAGTGTGAGTTGTAAGCAATCTGACATTCCTCTTAGGCCTAGGCTGCAGGCTCCTCAAAGTTAGGCCAAGGCACCTACCCTGATCCACTGACTTTTTCCCTGTGAGCAGATAGATATACCTGTCACTCACTGGGACAAACTTGCAGAGATCCCTTCCATGACAAGAGAGAGATGTTATAGAGGTGTTGTTGTACCTGTATGCAGGGCACACATCCACCTCTGAAGTTCACATTCACACAAAGCACATTTACACAGAGCTATGGGTACAAAACACATTCTCCAGGGAGCAAAAGCATAAAGGGGAAAGCTTAACTCATTCGGAGTTAAATATCCTTGAAACATATCCTTGAAACAGGACATCTCATTGGCTAGCCAGAAGGTCACAACTCCTCACCTGAGCACTAGAGAAGCTATACAGAGCCCTCTTTTCAAGAGCACTGGGAAGGAGGTGTGGGACCTGGCCCTACTGGGCTTCAAGCCCTGTAGAAGGGAAGGAGAGGGTCAGGAGGGGTACCCCATGTACCAGCCTTTCAGAGCCCCTGCCAGTAAGACCGGCTACAAGACAGACTGACGAGCCCCACAGCAATGCTGAGCCCTTGAGAGTCAGCTATATAGTTCTTTGATAAAGGCAAATTCAGACTCAATAATTTTTCATATATGTGTGTGTGCACGCGCACACACACACACACACACCTTTGTAGACTGGACTGTCCCAGTGGGTATGGGCATGGTGGAAACATGTTTCAGAGTTGCAAAGTAACTACTTTAATTACAGCTGGTTGACAGAACAGAAGCCAGCTGTCTTTGCCAGATATACAATTTGGCTACACTAACTCTATTTCATGTGGGTTAAGGTCTTCATATATGTTTTACTTCTGTTGTCTGTTTTGTCTAGTGACCTAGACTTGAGAATTTTCATGTTATATCTTGTAGCATACAGTAACCAATCATGATGCTACACAAACCCATTGCTGCCCTGGAATAAGATACTGGACCCTTCACCCCAAAGACATCTGAAAGATTACTAAACACCAGCAACAGGCCAGGGAGTGTCCTTTGTAGGTATCTGGGACAGAACAGTGATTATCCAGAAAGTCCTGCCTTCGAGGAGTATATGTTCTGGGGCATCTCTATGTCAAGGCCCCTGACAAACTCCAGACAATGTGAGTGTCCATTCTAAGTCAGGGTGCTTTCCGGGAGAAAACCCTGCTGCCCCAACCCCACGCTCCTCATGGTTTATTCATCTCATGCCACCTAACACCCTCAAATAGTCTATACAAAGTCACTTAAGCAATGTCACAAACCATAGAGCTGTCACTTGCCAAAAGAGTTATGAGCCACTGATCTTAAATTTTAGTCCCAAAGTGTATCCTAAACAAAACGAGATTTGAGTAAAAGACAATAGAAAAAAACTTAAGGAGATGCTTGAATTTATGACACTGAGTGAAACTATATGGTATCTGATTTGCTTCAAAATAAGGCTCAATAGTTACGAACACTTTATGCTCTCACAGGGGACTAGGTTTGGTTCCCAGCCCCCATGGGCAGCCTACAATCACCTCTACCTTGTTTCAGGGGAGCCAATACTCCATGCTAGCCTCTGTGGGTACCAGGGCAAGTATATGGTGTATATACATACACCTGTCTCTACGAAGCAAGTAAACACTTATACACATAAAGAAGACATCTTTTAAAAAAGGAATCTAGGTGTAGAACAGCACGGAAATGAACACTTGCTAAAAGTGGAAGATGGAAAGAGGAGCTCCCGGGAGCACCTCATCTACTTTGGTGACCGCTAAGAATCCCCAGATACAAAGTTTAACAATTAGGGCACAGTTAGGGGCTGGACAGATGGCTCAGTAGTCAGGAGCACTTCCCACTCTCACAGAGGACCTGGGTTTGGTTCTTAGATCCACACTGTGTCTCACAATCTTCTGTAGCTCCAGTTCCAGGGGATGTGATACAGTTTTCTGAACTCCACAGTCACCAGGTACATGTATGATACACAGACATACATGCAGGCAAAACATTCATAAATATAATATAAAAATCTAATCTTTTAAAGATAAAAACTTGGGTATACTCATACGATAGAATGTTAAAGTCATAATTTTATGTATATGTTTTAAAAAGCAGGATATAACACTGTATATATAGTTTGATTCCAATTACACTACTGTTTATATGAAAACATTTAAATTGTGACGGCTAATTTTAGTTGTCAACTAAGACATACACCTGGGTAGGTCTGTGAGAGCAATTCCGGAAAGGATTAGCCTAGAGCAAAGGGCCTTCTCCCGGCATGGACAGCACCCTGATAGGTGGCTGCTACAGAGAGGTCTTGGGGAAGCAGTCTTGCCCGATGGCGTTTGCCTCTTGCTGGTAGGAATATCTATCCCATTCTGTTGCTGCTGCCGTCCTTCCCTGGCATCAGCAACAGTGGCATTGGCCTTCTACTGTGGCCTAAAACCAGGTCTTCAGTGTAGACTAACTGCTGAGGCAGCCCAGTTTTGTGGACTGAGCAGCTACTGGCTCTCAGTCTCTCTAGACTACCCAGCCTGTACTGTGTGAGCCATTCTAGCACAGTCCCTTTACACATGGAATTTACTAGCATAAATGTAAATCACATTGGTCTAGGTTGTAGGCAATAGGTTTTTTCTTTGTGCTTTCTACCTTTTGAGAATCTGGAAGACATTGGGATTGTGATGGAGAAACAGACCCAGGTACCTGGAAGAACTGGAGCTGCTTTTCCAGGCTCCAGAAGAATGGGTGTTTTAGCACGTGCTTTGCAGAGGGTCGCTGCTGGGGATCCATTGCAATCATTTTCTCTATCAATTCACGAGCAATGACATCCTCTAAAGAGAAGGAAAATAAACAACCATTATTTCCAACCTACAACCAAATGAAATATCAGAAACCTTACAAATTTATGTGGTCCCCTACAGTTGTATGCTTCCGTTGTATATACAGGTACATGTTTGTGTGTATGCACGCATACAGAGGTTAGAGGCTTATGCCAAATATCTCCCTTAGTTGCTTTCCACCTTGTTTTATGAGGTTAGAGTCTCGCATTGAACTTGGGATCACCAATTCAGCCAGCCTGGCTGCCCAGCAAGCCACAGTATCCCCCTGTTTCTGTCTCTCCAGTCCTGGGGTCGCAGATGCATGGCACCGGACTTTTTTTTTTTTAAACCTGGGTACTGAGGATCCAAACTCAAGTCCTCATGTGTTTGTGGTAAGCACTTTACCCACTGAGCCATCTCCCAAGTCCCTGTATGCCCTTTGATACAACCTTATGCTTCAGGAGTTGATTGTAATACAATAATGAAGAACTCACACCAAATATTAGTTGGAAACAGATTTTCACTATATGGTTTGTGAAAAGTAGAGACTAAAAATATCCCAAACCTGAGCTGTTAAAAGGACGATGGGGTGAGTTTGGATGGTTAGAAAGATGTTCAAGGTAAGGCAATGGGCTTGTAATACCAGTACTCAGGAAGCTGAGGCAGGAAGACCATGATTATTAGTCTGAAATATATAGGAAATATATAGTCTGAAATTAGTCTGACTTATATAGGAAGACTTAGGCTAGCCTGGACTACACAATAAGACCCTGACTATTTCAACAAAACAAAACACCCAATAAAGATGAAGTTGAAAGGATGAGACTGTTGTAAATGCATGACTGAACCCCGTCCCCACTCCCACCAGGAGCCTGTCAACTCAGGCTTACCTGGAACTCCCTGTGTATCCTAGGCTGGTCTCACATGTGAGACTCGGCATCCTAAGTGTTAGATTACAGGTATGCTCAGCCACCCTTAGCCTTACCTCTTCTTCTTTTTTTTACGTTCATTTATTTGTGTATAGGGGAGGACATGTATATGTGACACAAGCACACACGTGGAAGTCAGAGGACGATGTGTAGGAATTAGTTCTCTCCTTCTATCATGTGGGTGGGTCCTAGGGATTAAACTCTGGTCATCAGGTGTTCAGACAAGTGCCTTTAACACTGAGCCATCTTGCTAACTACTTAACGCCGTCTTTTTGTTGTTGTGCAATCCTGGCTGTCCTAGAACTCTGTAGGTATGATCCACTATGTAGATCAGGCTGGGCTCAAATTTATAGATTTATAGCACATGCCTCTAGTGTGCTGGGATTACAGGTGTGTGCCACTACTCCCAGATCCATTTTTATAAAAGTACACATATCTAGGTAAGTAACTAGAATAATATACACAAAAGAACTGACAGCAGATATCCATCCTTGTATAATGAAGATATGAGTCTTTATACTAATGTGTTTTTCTACAATGAATAAGGGGAAAGACTTGTAAGCAAAACAATTAATTCATTTTAATCTTTTCATACTGGGGTGCTTTAATCTAATATACTCTAGCAAATTTCCCAATCAGGAGGAAGTACGCACGGTGTCCAAGTCAGCAGGGCAAGGACAACCTGTCTAGCCCTGCTGGTCAGACTGTCTTGTACCCATGGTCCTCATACAACATAGTCCAGTGTACAGACAGAGCACAGGTCCTCCCATACGCCAGTAAGGCCCTCTGATCAGGAGTCTCCAGAGGGTGCCTGCCCCAGGTCAGTGCCTCTGTACTTCAAGAATGCTCTCAGCCAGGCAGTATGTTGGAAGGTGTTGCCACCCAGTCCACCAGCTCACCGTGCTTGTCTGAGTGGAAGCAGTCAAGACTGCAGGCGCCCAGGAGGATGTTGGCCTGCCGCTGCAAGGATTTGCCAAAAGGATGGTTGCCCTCAGAGATGACGTAGTAAAAGACACAGCCTGCAGAGAAGATGTCCACTGTGTAGGTCTGAAAGAAACGCAGAGTAGGAGGCCTCAGTCCGCCGTCACTTCACTCACAGCCCTGACTTCACTTCAGCCCCTCCCTGCTGTTAAGTGGCTAATGAATGAACTGCCCAAAACAGCAAGGAGAACCCTGTAGTATTGCCCTCGTGTTCTGATTGACGCCAGGTCATTGGCTTATGGGCCAACAACCTGGAATGTTGGCTCTGCCAGGTGCCCCAAGTTAGCATCACTGATCAGGGTAAATTCCACCATCACATTCATCCCTGGCAGTGACTTGCAATCTATTCTTGCCTGAAATATTTCTCTTGAACCTACACAGTTGTTTTGTTTTTCAAGACAAGGTTTCCCTGTGTAGCCCTGGAAATACTAGAACTCACTGTGTAGACCAGGCTGGCCTTGAACTCAGAGATCTACCTGCCTCTTCTCTTGAATCTAAAAAACCCTCTAGTCCTAATTTCTAGTTTACAGAGAATATAGAGAGAGCTGTGAGGTGATGCCATGAGGAAACAAGCAAGCAGCTTAGAATGAGGCATTCAAGGGCTTCTCAAGAGTAAGCATCAGAGAACCAAACAGGTAGGGAGGCTGCTGGGAATGCAGAGATACAGTCAATTCAGAACTTGATGGAGTCCTGGAATACAAAACCAGTTGTGAAAGACTTGGGGGTCTTTCATGATGCTGAGGGAATGTGAACATGAACTGTTAGGAATAGGACAGGAAGATGCTGACTGCTCAGGTGTGGCAACAGTGTTGTGGGAGAGTTCTGTCCTTAGGAAACAGGACTGCAGCATTTAGGGGTAAGAGGTCGAGATGTCTGCTCCTTATAAGACATGGTGCAGTCGTAGGTAAATACAGGAAGACAGACAAATGTATAAGTATTAATAGTGATCTGGGTGAAAGTATGTAGGCCTTAACATTCTTTCAATGTTTTGTATGTCTAGCAATTCTTCAAACGAAAGTCTGGGGAAACAAAACAGACAAATGAAAATTAGAGGTCTGTTCATCGTAGACAAGGCCTGACTCTCCAGGTTCCCAAAGGAAAAGGGGTAAAAGTGACAGAAGGGCTGGGAAAAAGACACTGTTCACATCTGTCTCTCTCAGAACATGAAATATGAGAAGTTTAAAAGGGACGTCATTCTGTAAGCATATGCCTGGCACCCAAACTTTGAAATATGATGGGCTGGTACTCCCCCTTTACTCACAGGGTTCTCCTTGCAGTCTTCACTCAGCATCTCTGGGGCGATCCACCCTTCAGTGCCAGGCACTCCTGAGCGGCGGCTGAAGCTGTGCCTGCCCACGGCCAGCTTCTTGCAGAGGCCAAAGTCGGAGATCATTGCCTTGATCCTGCCATGTGCGTTGGGCATGGAGAGGAGAATGTTGTGGGGCTTCAGGTCTCTGTGAACTAGGAGAGAACCCCAATTCATTCATGTTTACCATGAGTAACCCCAGCTTCCTACGAGGGTTGTGGGGCCTCCTAAATACCTGCTGTCATCTTCAAAATGTCCAGTGTTCAATTACTAAGGCTTTCTCAAATTCCTACACAACCTGTCAAGAGACCACTTAAACACCCCTTTCTCCTATGAAGGTCAGGAAGCCACCCCACCCAGGGCCTTTTAGCCTGGCAAACAGGATACTCTTACCAATGTTGAGAGAATGCAGGTGTGCCAGGCCTGAGGTGGTCTGATGAAGCAAGGTGATGGGCTCTAGGCCAAGATGGGCGAAGTCCTTCTGCTCCACATACTGTAAGAGACACATTGGCAAGGTCACAGCACATAACCTTCAGGACTCTGTATTTGTGGCTGGTGTTCAAGCGGATGGAGATTATACATATACATATATATATAATATATATATGAATATAAAATTATATCTTCCTGAACAGATGCCAGTTAGTGGGAAAAGAGGCCAGTGACCATGGCAAAGCTGTCCCTGACCCTGGGCACTAGAAGGCCAGCAGACCCACCTCCTGCAGGGTAGCTGCACACAGCTCAATGGCGATGTACTGGAACTGCCGGTCCTTCTCTGTGCAAAAGTAGCGGATCACATTCGGGTGCTCGTCTGATTCTCGAAGCAACTGAACCTCACGGTCTGCAAAGCTAAAACACTCAGGGAGGATCCTCTTCACGGCCACGTCACGGTTGTCAAACATACCTCTGTAGGACAAGAGGAGTCGGTGAGTCTGGTTAGTGCACATGGAGCTGTAGGCATGAGATCAGCTCTGTAAGATACCAACGTCCCCCCCTCCCTCTTATTCCAGGATCAGCCACCTCGGTTTAAAGGCCCAGAGGCCCTAGCCAACCACCAGCAACCCACAGCTGCTGTCCTAACTAGCACCAAGTCAACTTGACACAAACTAGAGTCATTCAGGAAGATGGATTTCTCTGAGAAAACAGCTCCGTAAGATCTGCCTGTAGGGTAATTCTGTAGTATGCTTTCTGAATTGCTGACTGCCCAGCACACTGTGAGGGGTCCCACCCCTGGGCAGGTGGTCTCTGGGTATATAACAGACAGGCTGAGCAAGCCGAGAGGAGCAAGCCAGTAAGCAGCCTTCTCTATGGCTTCTATTTCAGTTCCTGCCTTGAGTTCCCATCCTGACTGTGATGTGGAAGTGTAAGGAAAATAAGCCCCTTCTTCCCCAAGTTGCTTTTGGTTATGGTATTTTATCACAGCAACAGAAACTCTAAAGACAGTGTGGGAGCTCACTGGAGTGGAGGCTCCTCTGCCTCAATCATCACTTTGACCCTGTTATGCCTCAGGAACCTGACAAGATTCACATGGCTGGGGGACTGGGCCACACCACTCACTTGTATACAATTGTGCCCTCAGCTCCATGGCCCAGGACATCCTTGGGGCAGAACGAAATTTTCCCAACAATCACCATTCTGGTTTCCTCATCTGGAACAACAGGAAAAAGAAGAGGTCATTTTAAACAGACATCACCTAAAGAACTTTTAGAGTGAAAGGGCGTCAGAATCCTGAGTAAGATGTGAGGTTTAAGAGGGTCTATTTTCCCAGATCCCTGCGGGCAGGAGTTAGCCCACTGCTCCCTCACGCTCAGGACGATCGCCTCCTCCCCACACTTTGCACCGACATTCTAGTTCTGCTTTTACATTATCTTCACATTATCTCAGGAGTCTTAAACTTTTCCAAAGAGAGGGATTCTCTGTGGAACCTCTATTTAGTTAATGGTGAACAACAACAACCTCTATCTCAAAGATCCATATCTAAAACAACCCAGTGTGGTCTGACAGTAAGACAAAGAGATTGCTTAGAACTAGAAGCCCTGAGGTGCCTCACAATCTCTGTGGCAATCCTCCCAGCCTGTGGCCTGATAATAGCTAAGCCCACTCTCCAGAGGAAGATGGGCCATTGCTTCACTTCTGAACATGGCCAGTGGCTGTTCTCAAGAATTCAATTAAGCCAGATGGGAAACTTCCCTCTGGTCAATAGCAGTTCACAGCCTTTTATCCCAGAGACCAGTAGGTGGGAGAAAGGCAGGGGAGAAAGAACATGGTGAGCCCTTGGGAATCTGGGAAGAGTGTGGTTGCTCAGTGTTCCAGGTATTGCTCCCAGATGTAACATGGAACTGCCATTACCCTCATCATCCTGCTCCAGTGAGGGACTGGTGCCGGCCTTGGAGGCAGAGCTGCTGGAGTGGAGGGAGTGGTTGGAGGCTCTGGGGGATGGGCTGGGGCTGCTGGTGCCTGAGCTTTCTGAGAAGAGGCCAGAGGAATCCAGGAACTCAGAGTCCTGGGTAAGGTCTCCGTGTGGGTGGAAGGGCAGCTGCTGCTGCTGCTGCAGGAGTTGAATTTTCTCTAGTTCCTTCTGGAACTGTTGGTGCTGGAGCTGGCGCTGCTGATGCATGCTCTGTGAAGAGAAACCCACATCCAGGCGATGTAGCTAGTTCCAAGTAGAAACAAGTCAGAGGGAAAAGTGTTCCCTGTGGCCAATGAGGCAGGCAGACTTTATCTGAATGCTAAGGCACAAGGCCAGAGAGAAGCCATAACGAGACAGAATTCTGTAATCTTCCTCTTCTGTAGGGCCCACAGTCTAACCCTGGAGGGGGCTAGTGAGACTGAGTGGCCACCAGGAGGAGCTGTGTCTGAATAGAAGTTAGAACAGGGTGGCCTGAAGTCTAGAAGGCAGGCTGGAAGCTGTGATCCAAGATGAGGCAGTGTGGGTGGGCCTGAACCTGGGGCCTGGCTAAGGTCCTGCTCCTAAGATCCTAGTCCCATCATCCTGCTGCCAGCACCCTCTTCTCAATACTCTGAAAGCTTTGCTTCACCATCATGAGAAGCATCAGTGGTCTGTAAACATTCTTGTCTGGGAATGGAAGGCAGGCTAAAGAGGAGTTCTCTAGCTCTTCTTGAATCCAGAGTCAAAGTTCTGAATGTGCCACCTAGTAGCCCAGGAAGGCACATAGCCTCCCTGAGGCTAGTTTCTTCTTCTGTGGACAGAGAATAAATAATAATGACCTTACAGGACTGTGTGAGGTTAAAGCGATTAGGTAATGGTACTTTGCCCACAGAGAGCAAAGCAGACAAAGTCTCCGTCTCTCCTACCTGATGGAGATGGGAGCTGCCTGTGTGCTGGTATTCTGAGGAGACAATTCCACAGGCTTGAACAACTTGCTGAGAAGACTACTGTCTTACCTACTAAAATGTATCATCATTATTTTGACTTGTCTATAACTAGGAAGTGAAAGGAATCATTCCAGCACCCTTTACACTTTAGTAGATCTCACAGGTAGTGTGAGGAAGCAGATTTTCATCTGCTATCCTTCCTTTAAAAAACAAGATTCAATTAACTATTTTAAATGATCTTAGGCAGGGTTATATATCAGCTAGTACACCCTTTCTTAAAAAACATTAAGATTTAGTTACAAATTATCCTTTTGGGAGCTGAAGAAATGGCTCAGTGGTTAAGCGCACTGACTGCTCTTCCAGAGGTCCTGAGTTCAATTCCCAGCAATCACACAGTGGCTCACAACCATCTGTAATGGTATCCGATGCCCTCTTCTGGTGTGTCTGAAGACAGCAACAGTGTACTCATATACATAAAATAAATAAATATTTTTTTTAAAAACAACCAAAACTGTCTTTTTATGAGAAGCTAATATCTCTAATGATGTTTTTGAAGATAAGCAAATATTCCTTTTTTTTTTTCTCACAATATAGCTCTGGCTGGTTTTGACTTGCTATGTAGACCAGGCTAGCCTTAAACTTCTGAGTGCTATAATTAAAAGTGTGCCACACATCTGGCTCAAATATTGACTTATATATACGAAACATGTTCCCTGCTTTTGTGTGGCCCCCACTGACACCCAGTAACTGACAGAAAGGTACCAGAACTTGGAGGATATTAATAAAGATCAAGCCTTACCAGGGGGTAAGTGATGATGAACGCCACCCATCCAACCAGCAGGAAGGTGCTCAGGATAATAGTGGCCATGTCCTTGAGCATGGAATCCACTGGGGCCTCAGGCTTGGCAGGGGCATGGGGCATCTTCTCTTCTACATCCTGAGATATGGTGGTTGGTGTGTTGTCTGAAGTCTGGCCAACTAGGTTGATAACCTTGTATGGAAGAGATTTTCTAAATGTCTAGCCAGATATAGATGAAGTTAGCACTCAAGAGAAGCTATGTATATTTAAAATGTAGGACTAAAATGAATTTTTTTCTAGTTCTTCAAAATTCTGATGGACCAGATAACTGTGGCCTCTTTTTAAGCAATTGCTGTGAGAGAACATACAATTCTACAGCGATGCTGTCATTGTTCAGAGATTTCAGAACAATATATTTGGAAATATAGACCCTGACATTCTTTAAAAATTTTCACTACAACTGCTTTGAAAGTAGATTTGCTAGTTAAGGAAAACTGTAAAATCACCTAAAATCATATATAGAAAAAAGTCTAGTGAAAGTTGGTCATCAATTTGATACCTTTTCACCTTTCCTGGATTTAATCCCCACACTACAAACAAACAAATGAAACCACAAAAACAAAGCAAGACTGTACAAGTATGAAGATATGAGTCCAAATCCCAAGAACCCACATAAAAAGCCAGATGTAGTAAAAGTATATGTGTACCCCTAACTCTGTCAGTGAGTTGAGGGTGGAGACAGGGGGATCACTGGAGCTTGCTGATCATCAGTTTGGCTCCAGAGTCAGAGAGAGGCTGCTTCAAGGGAATAAGGTGGTGAGTGAGAGCAGAACACCAACATCTTCTAGCCTCCTTAACTTATGCATACCTCCCATACTATAAACACATACACACTCACATCAAAAAAAACAAGGTGTACATATGTACACACTCGCAGGCATGTACCTAGCAAACCTAACAAAGCAATAAAGCCACTTCCTTAGGTTGTTTTTCCAAAGTTAAAGAAAAGTATCGGATTCCTTTGTTAATGCTTATGAAAAATGAAATAAACAAAAAGTAAATGCTCATAGAAACTCCAAATTAAATCAGATAAGCATGTTGCTTCCTTCCAAGTTTCTCAGAATCTCAGAGGTTTCCTGGAACAGTTTAGAAAGACGCACTGATCTGTACACAAACAGCTAGTGTTCTCTGTTTGTCCAACAAAGCTAACACAGCTTCCTGGCCTTGCACACTGGGTTGTCCTTTTTCTTTTCTATTTTTAAAGGTGTATTTATTTATTACATACTTATGTATGTAAGTACACTGAGGCTATCTCCAGACACACCAGAAAAGGGCATCAGATCCCATTACAGATGGCTGTGAGCCACCATGTGGGTGCTGGGAACTGAACTCAGGACCCCTGGAAGAGCAGTCTGTGCATGCTCTTAACCATGGAGCCACCTCTCCAGTCCTGCACACAGGTTTTTCCACATGCTTACATCACTACAGTCTCTCCTGCAAGACATCAGCTTTGATACCTTCCCTCCCTTTCCAGTTGCTATCTGAGTCCATGCAGGTATACACCTCCTGTGTTCATGCCTCCCTTACAGGATATCCTGCGTGGGGAGTATGGCTTGTTTGGTATGTAGCATGTGGCTGAGCAATCTGTGCTGAGCATGGGACAGGAGAACATTTACTCAGATATTAACTGTTCGAGAGTGTTTAAAAAGACAGTTGTGGGGCTGGAGAGATGGCTCAGTGGTTAAATTCAGGTATTGATGCTGCAGAGGATCTGAGCTTGGCTCCCAGGCCCCACATCAGGCTGTCTTGCAGCCACCTTCAACTCCAGTTCCTAGCCTCTTTAGCCCTTTGTTTATACCAGCGAGATGGCTCAGTGGCTGAAGACACTTGCCAGTCTGACAATCTGAGTTTGATCTCTGGGTGAAAGAAAAAAACAATTTCTGCAAGTTGTCCTGACTTTCACACTTGCACCATGACGTATATGTGCGCACACACACACAATCAATCAATCAATGTAAAAAAAAATTCAAAGACCCCTTTGCTCAAGTTCAGATGGTTAAATATAAAATTTGACCATGGCTACCTCTGAGTATAAGATTAATTGTATTCTCTTATTTTCTTCATTATAGTTTTGTAAGTATGCAATAATAAATATTCAGGACTTTAATAAGATCTTAGAGCAATGCAATTCAGGATTGCTGTTTTAGAAATACTCAGCTAGTACTATTGGTGATGAACAGAGACACTGTGCCTTGAACTTAAAAGACTGTAATATTCCTCTGCTTTTAAATAAAACCTAAAGCCAGCTGTTGTAGTACATGTCTTTAATCCCAGAATTTAGGAGACACAGGGTAGGTAGATTTGTGAGTTCTATATAGTGTGTTCCAGGAGAACTATATAATGAGACCTTGTCTTGAAAAATAAACAAACAAACAAAATACATACATACATACATACATAGTCTCTCAAGTGATTTGTTAGACCCCAGATGACCCATAATAGTAGCTCTCATTCTTCAAAACCTCCCTAGTCTTCTCCATTAACCCTCTATTCTCAGTGAGGCTGCAGGAGTTCAGCCCTGAATAGCTAGCTTACCAAGGACTTTAGAAACCTCCAAGTCTCCTTTGCTGGCCATGCAGGCCAGAAAAAAAGTCTCCCCAACACTCTGATATCTGACCAGGAAAGCAATGGGACACACCAAAAGATGGAGACAAAACAGCAAGTCTGAGTGCTTTGGGGACTCTTGACTGCAGCTCCCAGGTTCTGCTCAGAGGCCCTTTCCACTCTGTCCTCTTTGGCTTCAGGACAAGGGATGCTATGAGAAGATCTGGGGTGGACCAGTAGAGGCCCTGACCTGGTTCCCTAGCACCTGTCAGGAGAAGCTAGAGCCGCTGGTTCACTTCCTACTCACTTCCTCAAAGCTCCTTTTTTCCGAATCAGCAGGAATCACATTTTCTCGATGTTTGGGCAGGTTGTTAGGAAATCTCTCCAGCATCTTGGTGGATGCAGACAGAGGAGTTTCATGGTGTCCTACAAGAGGAAACAAACCTTTAATGAGAACAGTTTCCAGGGAGTGGTAGCTCTTAACACAAAATTTCGACAACTCTCTACCCTCTAAGGGCGTCTTTCCTACAATGCAATCTCATATCTACACAATGAGAAAAAGGTAAGGCAGCTACTAGAGAATTAGTATGAAAACAGAATCTTTTTATTTCAAGAAAGGGTTTCTCTGTGTAACAGCCCTGTGCATTCAAGGCCAGCCTGGTCCAGGACAGCCAGAGCTACATAGTGCAACCCTGTCTCCAACACACCCCTCAAAAACACTCCCTGACTCCAATAGAAATTTTAGGGCTGGGGAGACGGTTCACTCAGTAAAGTGCTTGTGAAAGCAGGAGGACCCAAGTTCAATCCCCAGAACCCACATGAGAAAAGTTGGCGAAGTGTGTGTGATCCAATGGGGAGATGGAAACAGGCTGATCTCTGGAGCTTGTCACACAGCTAGCCTAACCTAATCAGTGAATTCTAGGTCATGAAAGACTCTGTCTCAAAAAGCGACAGAGGAATGACAACTGAAGTTGTCCTCTAGTCTCCACACAAATGCACATGCACACCTGCACACATGTGAAATATAAATTTTAAAATAAAACAAGATTAATTGACAGCATAATGCAGTCTTCTGCTCTTTTTTTAATGATTTACTTTTATTATTAATTATATGCATGTGTGTGGGTATGTGCAGTGCCCAGGCATAGGAGACAGATCCCCCTGGAGCTGGGATTATAGGTGGTTGTGAGCCACTTGACATGGGTGCTGGTAACCAAACTTGGGTCCTATGTAAGAGCAGTTTGTGCTCTTAACCACTGAGCCACATCTCTGGCCCAATACTCTGGTTCTTTTGCAAATAAAATAACTTGTGTGGGTGCATGCATTCAACTCAGGAAACAGTGTGATTTGTCAAAATTCAACAAGTTCTTCCATTGCTTTTTCTAGTAGCATCAGTCTATCACAGCTACCAAGGTCCCTTCTGCACATTTCCGGTGCTCAGGTGGAGTTCTAGTCCTCCTCTGAGCTACACGTGAGCGTCCACCTAAGGAGTGGTGAGGACCTGAGAGGATGAGAGGAGCAGGTGCTGGCTGCACAGGACGAGTGATGCCCACTCACTTGCTACTGTTCTATACATACTAGCTCACGACTGCCTGGCACTCAGCATACACACCTCCATCCCGTCGTCTAGTGTGTGCAATGAAAGAAACAAAGTAACTAAAATAAGGAACTGGAGTTTCATACCACCGGGCTTGAAAATCAAATGATTCTATACACAGGCTTAAAAAGCCCCAACTATTCCCCTCCTCTCTGTTCTCTCTCTCTCTCACTGGATGAGCTTTTAGCTTGATTCAGGCTTTTACTCTATACTGTTTTTTTCTTCTTCGTGGCTGTGTGTGTAGATCACAGGTCAGCCTGAGGTATCCTCAGTTGCTTCTCTACCTTACTATTATTTCTAAAACTTTAAAAGAGAGAGAGAGAGAGAGAGAGAGAGAGAGAGAGAGAGAGAGAGAGAGACAGAGACACAGTCTCTCACTGAAACTGGAGCTGAATGTTTGGCTGGTCAGTGAATCTCAGGATCCTCCCCTCCTCCCCTTTCTGCCTTCCTACACTTGGCTTTTCAGTTTGTTTTTTTGTGACTGCATTTCTCTGTGTAGTCCTGGCTGTCCTGGAACTTACTCTGTAGACCAGGCTGGCCTCAACTCAGAGATCTGCCTGCCTCTGCCTGGGAGTGCTGGGATTAAAGGCATGCGTCGTGCCTGGTTTGCCTGGCTCTTGACATGGTTCATATCCTCTCACAGTAAACACTTCACCTAGTGACCATTTCCTCAGCGCTCACGCCATTATCTCCCCAGTACTACTGGAGACCTATTAGAGTCTGTGTGCCATGTGCACCAAGGCACAGCCTGACAGGAACTAGCTAAAGCTTGCACTTCTTGATCTGGAAAGTCCCTCTTTGATCCCTCATCTGACCTCAATCTTTTCGGGCTTTTGACACCTATGGTGTGACATGGTTCTTCCAGGGAAACCTACTTTTGTTCTGAACCATCACAAGTTTTCTCATGCATACCAAGGCCTGCTAAGGCATGCTTTACTCTACAAAAGGGTTTTCTCACATGTGGCTGCCTATGTCAGAATTCTGAGTCAGACTTGGTATCTGAATGTGAGTAACCATGGGTTACCATGGCCAACCAACAAGAATGATCAACAGCCAGGAGAAATAAAGTTATCCTTCCACAGGCCACCCCGCATTACAGTGTCCTGTCTACCTCATTCCCTGATGTCCTACTGCTCAGAGTCCTACATGTCTGTAAGGTCTCCTACCAGTAGACTGCTGGAGACGTCACTGTGAGTCCTTATAAACAGGCTCCCACTGAAGAAGGATGTTCAGCAATATCCCTCTGTATTCTCAGAACCTATCTCTGCAAGCCTATCCCAAGGTTCTTAAACATTTTTTTTATAAACAGTACCCAATCTTTGTGAATTATCTGTCCTTAAGCAAATAGGTCCACACTCTGAAGCAAAAAGCACAGGGCCAGCTTCTGTCTGGAGCTCCTGCATTGGGTCACCAATGGCAGTTCATGCCTATTTGACAAAGCACTAGGGGATGTGGAACACCAGGTCAGGGTCACTGCTTGGGGGCAAGAATCAGAACAACAGATCACACCTCTTGATTTAATTAGATCCATATACTTTCAAGATGAATGTGAAGGTAGACTATCTTACAGTCTTCCACAAGAACCGAAGGCATTATCGTGACATTAACAGGTATAACCGGTGGTCCTGGTCTATGAGAAGATTGTTACATATTTCTACTGCCTTATTTTAAGCTGACCAGCTACAGGGTTCCTCAGAGGGGACCTCAGAATTGTGAGATCCTTACTTAGCCACCTTTTAGAAGTGTGTGAGGCTTCCTAGTTGTCTTATTCTGACAATTTAAAGAAATTTTAAAGGGATCTCATTTTCCAATTCTGCCATGGAGACTCCTCTTGTACATTTTTAGTACTTTCATACATATTTCCTTTGTGTTACTTCCTAACCACTGCCAGGCAGGTTACGGACCCTTAACTGGTACAGAAAACCGAGCAGCCTCGTAATTGTGATGAGCTCTGCTCAGTTAGCGTTCCCCTCCCATCAGCATGCATCCATTCACACGTACTTTCTCAAACTACTACTGAGAAGACAAGAGTTCTTGTATTATTTTCCTTGCCTAATTTGACACACACACACACACACACACACACACACACACACACACACACACACACACACAGAGAGAGAGAGAGAGAGAGAGAGAGCGCGCGCTAGAGAGAGCTAGAGAGCTATAAAGAATTAAAAGGCGGGGCTGGTGAGATGGCTCAGTGGTTAAGAGCACTGACTGCTCTTCCAGAGGTCATGAGTTCAAATCCCAGCAACCACATGGTGGCTCACAACCATCTGCAATGAGATCTGATGCCCTCTTGTGGGGTGTCTGAAGACAGCTACAGTGTACTTATAATAAATAAATAAATAAAGTTTAAAAAAAAAAAAGAATTAAAAGGCACAGAGAACAAGGTCTTTCAGGTGACCTGCAGACAGAATGATCAGAGCTCAAGCACAATCAGTGTCCCTGCAGCTCCACATCCCTGCAGCTCCTAGGTGCTCACATCCCTGCAGCTCCACATCCCTGCAGCTCCTAGGTGCTCACATCCCTGCAGCTCCTAGGTACTCACATTCTGGTCCAGACTCACTGCCTGGCAGGTCCTGCTGCTTCCTGGGCCTGCACTCTCTGAGTGCTACCCACATCTACTCTAGTCTGCAGGGACTCACCCCACCTCTCATGTTTAGGCTAGGTCATCAGAATTAGTGTGTATTGTTGGTAGGGGGCACAGGAAGGAAAGATCTGATTTAAGAAAACTCCATCCTGCTCGAGTTACTTGGGATCCTTGCCAGGGAGACAATCACCCTCATTTCTGCCTTTGTTTGCAATACTCACTGCCTAGGGGTGTCATCTCAACCTCTTATCTTTGTAACCAGGCCTTTAATCCAACCCCAGGGTCATGGATAGTGATGGCAGCAACAATGAGAAGAAAAAAAAAGACAAGGGCCAGGGTGCAGCCCAGAGTCAAAGCATGCTCAGCATGCCTAAGACCCTGGTCTCCGCCTCAGCAAAGGGAAAAGATTATGGGCGAGAGTAAAGAAGCCAATCACTTGGGAAGCATGGACTGAATGAGTTGAGGGTAGCCTGTGTAACATAGTGACATTCTGTCTCCAACAATATGAAACAAACCAAAAAATTAGATGGAGGAAAAGAAACTCCCCTACAGCCTTTCTGTGATGGCCCAAGAACAGCTCAGACTCTTCATGGCTGTTGATTCTAATTTCTCCTCAGATTGCATAAGTATTTTGCCTTTATTTCACAACTATCAATCATCGTGTGTCTTAAACTTGTCCTGTCCAGCCTCTTATCCGCATTCATTCCTAGCCCAAATGACAAACCTCAGAATAGAGAGGAAATAACAAGGGTACCCACCTCACATGATCACTTTGAGGAACAGGGAACAGCCATTGCCTGAAATTTACACCAAGTGCTTCAATCTTGGAGAGAAACTGTTTTTTTGAGACCTGATTAAGCAACCTGGAACTCTAACTCCTTGGAAACAAAAAGATTCCCAGGCCTAAACCACCTTGACATGGACAGAGCACACAATGCATTCAGAATGAAGAGCAGCAGGAAACCAGCAGGTCTGCCCTTTGCCCACCAGGAGGCAGTATGTTACTGCCCAGCAAGAAGCAGCTCTTACCTATGAGAAGCCAGTAATTCCTCAAGTAGTTCAGCTTGCTCTTCCCTTTGAGTCCAGGGTCAAACTTGAGGTCTGTGCTGGGGGTGATCACACACTCTCCTTTGTCTCCAATGGTGACACCATCTGTCTGGGGACCTTCCAGCAAAGGAAGAGTGCTGCCTCGAGGCTGAGGAGATGGGATGCAGCGAGCTACAGGGCTGGCAGGAGAGTTTCCCTAGGTCCTGCAGGACATCTTCTCAACCACTGTCCCCTAAAGGGACAGTTGTGGCTCACGCAGCTCAACAATCATCAACCATCAAAGCATGACACAAAGATCCTGGGACCAGGCAAGGAAAGCTCTACTGACATCTTTTCAGATTTTTTTTGTTTACGACAGAACTCAAGTAGCCCAGGCTGTTCCTGAACTCCAGATTCTCCTTTTTCCATCTCAAGTGCTGGGATTACAAGCTTCAACTATCATATCTGGTCCTGCCATGTCAGATTTGTACGTTTGGGTATTGAGAACCAGGAAGAACATGAATTTCAGAACTCTAAGAAGCTACTGTTAGAAATTCTATGAAACTATGCAAGAATCTATATGGTCACAGATGACGAAATTGACAGTGTGGAATTAACTGCAGACACCGATGAGTTACTAGAGTCAGGAGTGGCCTCACTGCTACAGCAGCCAACCAGCTCACCAGGCGGACAGTATAAAGCAGCCCAGCATCAGGAGTGTAATATCCCATCATTCAGTGGGAGTGCTCAAAGCAGGCTGGAGAAGCCTCAGGAGGCATGGAGCGCTCACAAAGGGATTGAGCAGGGGAAAGGAAGTGAGAGACCAGCAACTGAAGCTCAGAAGAAAGAATAGGGAAGTTTGGGTGGCCATGGAAATCATGTGCTTGTCTGGACCATGCAACTCCCCAAAACTAGCGAGTGGTAGCCAGGCATGGTGGGAAGAAAGCCTGAGGGTTAGATCTGAACACAAAGCCATGGGGGGAAGGGGGGGGGGGGCTGGCTTCAGGAAGCTGCTTCTGTCAACATCTGCTTTCAAGGTAGGCTGTGGATTTGTAGAGGCTGCTCATGATTCACTCAGCCCTGCAGTTCCCCTCCTTAACCAGATGTTTACATAAAACTCAATGTCACTTTCTGCTTAAAAAAAAAGGAACAAAAGCAGTCAAGTAACTGCATCTTTGGGTCCCATAGTTGACTCACCACAACAGCAACCCCCTCATGAACCATTGAGGGAGAGGCATACAGGCTGGTGGAGTACTTCCCAACATATAGAGTAGGCCTGAGAAAAAAAAAACCAGAAACATATTCTTAAATCATTTTATGTCCAAACCCATAAACTGTGGCTTTTAGGATATTAGAAGCACAAACTCAAGCATCACTTGTCACACATGGAGGTGGCAGGGGTACTGTAGAGTGACAGGGGAGTAGGACTTCAGGCCCCAGCTTTACCTGTCACCTACAGAACAGGAAGCCACTTTCCTCGCCTGCAAATGCCAGGACTGGACTAGATTGAGTACACTGCAGCCTGAGGAAAGGGCTGTATTGTTGACGAGCAGGAGACTGAGTACTCAGCACCTGCTGCCAGTTTCTCAGGTGACCGAGCCAACACCCTTTCAGAACAACCACGCTCAGCATCGCCATGCTGCTGTGGGCTTTTTGAGGACTTCAAGGGTTCAGCAGAGGAAGAGGGAACTGCTCCATTCCAGATGCTGAGTGCAAAAGGAATGTACTAGATACATAAACCAGGAGGGTAGTGCACACCTGTAATCCCAGATACATAGCATATTTGGGACCAGTCTAGGCTCATGAGAGCCTGTCTCAAATAAAGAAAACAAAAGAAAAAAAGAGAAAGACAAGAAAGAAAAAAGAAAGAAAGAAAGTCCAATCCAAACTGAGTGCTATTTCCTAGTAATGTGCGCCTACCTGAGATATCAGAGGGCTGTCTAGTGGCAGCATGAAAACAGAGGAGCCATGCCTACAGACCTGTCTAGTTACTGCTGTCAGGAGCCTTGGGTCGGCCCTCTATGAAATTATCCAAACTTCTCTCTACAAATACCTGCCACCTAAATGGTGTTTTACTGTAGACAACACTTTCACATATATGATTATATCTCAACTTCTCTACAAACCTATGGAGTAGGAAGATTTGAGGCCTAGCCTGTTAAGTGACCGACAGGCTTTTAACAGGTAGAGATGAAGGATACAAAGGATACAACCTGCTGAGTCTTGGTCACCTACACTGTGACACTTTTTTTTCTTCCTGATTTTTAAAATGAGTATGACATGTCATAAAAATTTTAAATATACAGTCTTGTACTACAATGTACTCCTAATATTTTATAGTCAATGTTCAAGAAGTCCAGGTAGGTAGGCACCTGTAATCCCATCACTTAGGAAGCTGAGGCCAGCCTGGGTTACATAATAGGACTTTCTCTTCAAACCTATAAACATAATACAGAACCAGAGAGAGGAAGAGAAAGACAGTAACAGAGATAGTTTGAAGTATAAAGGGGTACTGCATGGCTTGCATTATGATGTTCCCATATGAGCCAGTGTGGGGTTTTTTTTTGGGGGGGGGGGGTGTGTTTGTTTGTTTTTCAAGACATGGTTTCTCTGTGTAGCCCTGGATGTCATGGAACTCCCTCTGTAGACCAGACTGGCCTTGAACTCAGAGATCCACCTGTCTCTGTCTACTCCAGCTGGGATTAAAGGTGTGCGCCACCACCACCTGTCAGCTCAAACCAACTCAGTGTTGACTCCTGATGTTCTACGTGACCTTAGAGATTTCTGCCAACCCCCTGACTCCTCCAGAATAGGGTAGCAGTCCCAGAATGCCCAGGGTTGTCCTTTGCTGCCTGTCCTTTCCTCATCTGTTCCAACTCCTCCAACTCACATCAGCTTGCTCTTGGCCTCTGTCTCCTTCGGGAATGGATATTTCCACTTGGTGATGCGCCCCACTTCCCCAGACATGAAGGTCAAGTAGCGTAGAGTCTCCACAGCAACGTTGATGTGCACCACCTTTCTCAGGCCCTCCCGCTGCCAGACGTAGAAGGCCACCACAGGAGAGGCATAGTTTTGGATCCACAAGACATCTCCAGACTCACTGTCCACAGTTACCACCAGTCCATCGCCATTGGACACAAAGTGGGACATCTCTAAAGATCAAACAAAGCATGTCAACCACATTCTGCAACCATGACCTCTATTCTCTTGGCAAGCTGCAGTTATTTCATTAAAGTGGAGACTTCTAGAATATTCTCAGGTCACAAGAGTTCACTGATTTCCAATGAACTCTTCCGTTTCAAGACACTGAGAAATGCCTGGCTTACAAATGTAAAATAGGCTTCTTTTCCCACTGCCCTGCTTTTTTTTTTTTTTTTTTTTAAACTTACTCTGTCAATAAGTGAGAGTAAATGCTGAGGAGAAAGGAGCCACATAAACACCAATGACACTGACATTTTATAGCAATCATTGAGAACCTGGGCACTCAGAGACAGTGTGTGAGGTCCTGAGCCAGAAAGAACAGTCAGACTTTCAGATACCAGTGTTAAGATAATAAACTTAAGTTGTACAGTTATCATCTGAGTTGCAGAATGTGACAGCTAGAAGTTATTAGAGTATAAGCTATATTTAAATGTGGACTGTCTTTTCTTATTGTGGAACTAGGGATTGGACCCAGGAACTTAAGTATGCTAGGCAAGATTTTTGTTGTTGTTTTGTTTTTGAGACAGTCTCTATGTAGCTCTGGCTGCCCTGGAACTCACTATTTAGACCTAAAAGGATTTTTAAGAGTCATTTATTTTATGAATATGAGTAAATACCTGCATGTATTTATTTTTGTGTATTACATATTTACATGTACCACGTATTTATGTGTACCACTTGTGTGTCTGATGTCCGTGGAGGCTAGAAGAAGGCATCTGATCTCCTGGAATAGAGTTATAGGCAGTAGTGCGCCATCATATGCTAGAAACTGAACTCTGGTCCTCTGCAAAAGCAACAAGTGCTCTGAGCTATCTCTTCAGCTCCCTAGAGTGGCCTTCTTCTTAATGGAGGTATTGATGCCACAGCCCATGAGGTAGTACATTCCTTCTGTGATACATAAGGACTCAAAATGTTTGCTTTCCCTTCTCTCTGGCTAAAGCTATCACCACAAGCCCATGAAAACTCCAGAACTCAGTGATAAATCGTTACTTTTTAAAAATCCTGCTTTCTAGAGTGATCACTTCCACATGTGGAAGATGCTTCCTTTCACCAGCACACTTACTGTAGTCCACGTCGTCTTCGGGCAGGGAGGCTGCATAGTCAAAATAGGTGGCATTCCAGCGGAGCTCCCGGGTCTTGGTGTCATACATGGTGATGGTGTATTCTGGAGAATACAGACCAGTTGGTTACCACGGAGGTGCTGTGGAACCTACTGAGGTGTTATATAGTTACAGCAAGAATATTTTCACTAAATTGCATCGAGGCAATCCATGTGCAAAGGGAAAGAGGAGGTGGAGGACGGAAGTCCCAGACAGAAGAGTGACCCTAACAGAGACAAGTCGCCCTTGCTCTGCTCTGAAATGCACAGTTCATAGAATCATTAGCCATGCAACGGCTATTTTTATCTACTAAGTTTCTGAGTTCTTTATTACACAGTAAGACATAGGTAATATTAGAAATGGGGACCTAAGTTGGGCAGTAGTGGTACATGCCTTTAATTCCAGCACTCAGGAGGCAGAGGCAGGTGGATCTCTGTAAATTCAAGGCCAGCCTGGTCTGCAGAGTGAGTTCCAGGACAGCCAGGGCTACAAAGATAAACCTTGTCACAAAAAAGAAGAAGAGGAGGAAGAGGAGGAGGAAGAGGAGGAGGAAGAGGAGAAAGAAGAGGAGGAAGAAGAGGAGGAAAAGAAATGGGTATCTAGAAGTGGAATGGTACTAAAACAAAAACCTAAAACACATGGCATTGACTCTGGTACTATGTGGCAGAAGGTGAGAAGGTGACAAAAGATGTGGAGACACAAACTTGAAAGGACAAGTAAGGAGGCCACCGTGGGAAGCTGAAAGGGGTAGTCCAGTTATGAGCTTACAGTGTAGACACAGTAAGGCTGCTGCCTGCAGTCACTTGGAAGACAGAAAAGATGCCTACTGGACTCAGCAATCTAGCTGAGACTCGAGGGAGCAGCAGAAAGTGCTGGCTTTCCTAGCTGTGTATGACATGCTACAGACAATGAGTTCAGGAAGAAACTGTGCCCGTTTCACGCAGGATACAGAGGAAATGGAGCTCAGGATGGACTCTGCAGTTGGAAAAGACTTTGTTTGTTTGTTTGCTTGTTTGTTTGTTTTTTTAAAAAAAAGAGGCTGAAAAGAAGTCCAGAGTTATCAGCAGGTGGAAGAGAGTTCCAGGTCAAGGTTAAAATCAAAGTCAGGTGAGTCTATAATACCCTTCTTGGAGACCTCAGGAAAAGTTAGGATGATACTTTGGAGGCCCTCTACTAGCTAGAGTCATAAGAATGCTGGCTCATAGCACTCTCACAATCTCAAGTGGACATTTGTGGTATGGCCTTTATCTAATAAACTGACTATAATTCAACACATGACAAGCCCATCAAGTTTTTTGTTCTTTTTTTTTTTGGTTTTTCAAGACAGGGTTTCTCTGTGTAGCCCTGGCTGTCCTGGAACTCACTCTGTACACCAGGCTGGTCTTGAACTCAGAAATCCACCTGCCTCTGCCTCCCAAGTGCTGGGATTAAAGGCATGAGCCACCACTGCCCGGCCAGTGCTCTGCTCTTAATTAATAAGCCATCTCTCCAACATGTCTTTTAAACTTTAAAAAAGGTATATATATGAAAAATATATATATATATATGCACACACACACATTTTTTTTTTTTTAGCTGCATGTGTGCCTGACTATATGTTTGAGCACCATGTATGTGCAGTGCCATGGAGGCCAGAAGAAGGCATCAGATCCCCAAGGACTGGAGTTACAGATAGCGGTAAACTACCACACGGGTGTTAGTAATCAAAGTGAGTTCCTCTGAGAGAGCAGCCAGTGCTCTTAACTGCTGAGCCATCTCTCCAACCCCTCAAGTAGTCATTTTTGACAAAAAGGGAAGCATTTCTCTCACAGGATAGAACCAAGAGCCACAGAACAACACAGGAGGGAACCAATATCCAGGGGTAAAGTTGAGTCCTGCAAGGAATGTTTTCTGCACCCCAGAGCAGGAAAACCTGAAAATACCTGCTTGGCTGGATTTCAGAATTACTCAGGACCAGCATCCTTCCCCTTTTTACTAGTTTCTTCATCAGTGCTCAGGACCCTGTGATGGTAGGGAATCACTCCTCACCTAGCCACATCCTTTACCCTTCGTCCTTCCCTTCTGAACAAGAACATTTATTACAGCCATCCTGTCTCATCATTGTACACCAAGCTGAAGAAGGGAAAGACACAAGAGGAAAAACCCCTCCTCCCCATCCCTCTCATTTGTTTATTAGGATGCAGTTTCCAGGCTGCCCTTGCACTCATGCAGCCGAGGCTGCATCACCTTCCTTCCTGATACTCTTGCCTTTACCTCCCATGTGCTGTGGTCGCAGGTGTGCACCACCATGCTCAGTGAAGACTTGTCTTAAATTCAGTCTCCAGATCAGAGGATCCTCATCTGCCATCATGCCTGATACAGATGCCAAGACACTGGGTTTTGATTGGATTTTAGGGATCCTGGGAGGAAGTGAATGAATTTTGTACATGGGAAAGTTGAACGACTGTGGCCGGAAGACAGACTATGTAAGAGTCCCTGAACAGGACCATCATCACTCCTGCCTTGCATGTGCAAGCCACTTTTCTTCTCTCAAGAGCTGTGTCTTTGTCTTCACCCTTGGCTCTAGATCTGCTTTGATCAAATGACTGAAGCAGAAGAAGGCTGTGTGAGACATTCTAATACCCACATCTGCCCAAGGAGGAGCCATGTCACAAAGTACAGGCGAGTCACTATATGTATGGGGCAAGTTTACACGGAGCTGAACCAGGATCCCAGATGAGTCATCCCAGCATGAAGAGTAGAGAAGACCTGTGTGTGGAGCCCTCCTCAATTCCTTAGTCAAAGCGTTAGGAACAACAAAATGGCCATCATTATAAGAAACGAGATTAGGCGGCTTATTACGAAGCAACAGATAATGGAACAATGGCTTTTTGGACTAAATTCACACATTCCAACCAAAGCCAGAACATGTCCAAATTCCCTCCATGCCCCAATTCTACCAGAGACCCAGTTTTTTATTCCTGTGTGAAGCTAGGACTCACTCTAAAGTTTGACTTGATGGAAAAAGAAACAAATCTTAAGTAGTCCTAACAGTTGGAAATGAGGATAGTTGATTGTTATAGCAGACGATGGCTGCTGTAACAGCAGGTCAGCTGGTACATGTGTCCCCAGAACAGGAGACTTAAAATGGAATGTTCCTAAACAAGGTGGGAGCTTACAGCCAGAGGCAGCTTCACAGAGGAAAGGACTTCTGAGCAGAGTTGTGAAAGGAGAAAGGACATTGACCTGCCAGATGGGCAAAACCAGGCATAGCTGGTGGGGAGACCGCTCCACTGCAGTCCTCAAAAACAGCACTGCTGTTCAGAGAGCTGTAGGTAGTACACCCACTTGAAAACATTTCAAGAAGGGCAGTGCAGCAGCCGGGTCAGAGTCGTCTGGACGGATTCCCTGGGGTCTGAGGCTCTGAGAACTCTGACTACTTGGAAAGGGCCACTCTGGCCACATTTAGAGAACAAATCTAGTAACAGAGGCCAGTGGAGGTGCACTGTACCATTCACTCTAGAAACAGGAAGGCTGTACAGCAAAAGCTTATTCCTTACCTGTCCGTCCAAGATATAGAAGGGAAGCTGATGGGCAGAGACTATCGGCAAAGGCTGATGACAAAGTCTGCTGCTTTTCGCCAGTCAGGAGGTCGATAACATACCAAATGTCTTGCTTTTTACCTGGAATGTTAGTGGATACACTGTTAACATCCACCACAGTTGGAAATAAATGGCATTGCCAAGGCAGCACTTCTAGCCTTTCAAGAGCCTCTGTGCTGGGAGACAGTCCTGAAATCCCTAGGATGCTGCAGGTGCTGCTATAGTGCTCTGGAAGTGACAAAGTAAATGGTAATGTCAATGTAATAACTCCTTAGGCCACTGACTCTTATACTAATTTAATAACCTAAAGCTGACATAAAAATTTCTCTAAACCTTATAGTATGAAAAAATGTTCTCTTAACTTTCAAGTTGGAGGCTGGGAAGTGGTGGCGCACGCCTTTAATCCTAGCACTTGGGAAGTTGAGGCAGGCGGATTTCTGAGTTCGAGGCCAGCCTGGTCTACAGAGTGAGTTCCAGGACAGCCAGGACTACACAGAGAAACCCTGTCTCGAAAAACCAAAAAAAAAAAAAAAAAAAAAAAAAAAAGCAAAACAAAACTTTCAAGTTGGATTTTATTGCTTTGAGTAATTATCTTATATATGAAAAATCTTGCCTGTCCTTTTCCCACGAATGAGGATCTATATAAACACAAGCACACCTAGGGGCTCATCTGGTAACTATGATTCATATTCTTCAACATCCCTACCAATTAGCCCACATAGGAAGCAGCACATAACTATAATTAGCTAGTACCTGTGACTGGTCAGCAGAGTTGCTGTAACCTGATGCTAATGAGGCTAAAGTTATGTCAACCTTCGTTTCTAGCCAGTAAACTATTCCCAGGCCGCAGGTGGTGCCACTTGCCTTGGTCAGCTGATTAAATATGACCAGGCAGACAGCATAGCCACATAAACGATTTTAGAAAAACATACAGCATATGAGTCTATGGCACAGACATGGGCACCTTGGTTTGAAGGCCAACAGCCACTATAATGTGTACATTTCTGTTCTTTAAGCCACACCTATGGTCATTTATGCATTCCTACTTTAATAGTTATTTCCTACATGCAAATTCCATGGAAGCAGAATACAGAGAAGTCAGAGAAGGTCACAGGGCACCAGACTTTGTTAAAGCTATACTTAGCTGTAACAGATGTAACACACCAGATTCCACACAGGTACAACTTGTTTGTGGATCCCAACTATTCTCAAAAATAAAGTCTTCATAGGTCTGAAGATAGAGATTAAATTAAATCCAAGTAACTATGACCATAAATACCTTCCTCTATGTGACATGCATATGGTTACTTCAAAGACCAATGCAGTCTGTATAATCTACCTATAGCTCCAATGGATGAACTGAATAACTAAACACTCATAAATATATTCAGTGAAATCACTTAAGACACGACACAAAGATGGTGGAAACACAGTATCCTTTGACCACAGATGATGAATTGATGGCAAAAGCTGTAAGACTGGTATGGAACTAGTCAAAAGATAGTCCTATGGGCCCAGGGCATGGCCCAGAGGAGGGAAGGTTTGATAGTCATTTCCTCTAACTCCCTGGGCTGGGAGTTCCTCATTCTGAAAGGCTCATGCAAGAAATAGGAGCACTGGTGTCCCTAGAAAAAACTTAAAAACCAGCCTGCATTTGAGCCTTGGAAATGTATGAGAACTCTTGAAGCATGAAATAGGCAATACGCACTTTCAGTTCCTCAAAAAGAAAGCTGCTATATGAACACCGGCTACTAATGCTACTAGAATTTCAAGATAAATACAGCTCTTCGTCTACAAATGCATCTTACTGACATTTTGGCAGCTTGTTGTGGATCCTAACTGCTGAAGGGAAGCGGGCGAGCTGGTGCTCTGAGAGCTGTGGCCCCACAGGTATAAAGGCAGCTTATATAGGCAAGCTGGTAAGTGCTGCTGCTACCAAATATTCTGTTAGCAGGAAATACTAAGAAAGCCCTATAATTAATAGGCAGGGCCTGGCTTCCCTTCCTTGGCTCGAACTATTGTATTCACTTTAAATTTTATCCATTTGCAGCTAGGTATGTTGCAATCATGAAATAACAGCAGAAGGCCAACCCAGCGGCTAAAAGTTTGGTAAATGAGTAACCATATTAATAGTGTCAATTTTTCCTTAGAGGGGAGAGCTCTTTCTTAATTGGCCCAATGATGCTTGCATGAAAAACCAAAGCACAACTGAGGCAAAAAAGACTTTTCACAGAAAGATTTTAAAGAGAGTGACGCCGGGCAGTGGTGGAGCACGCCTTTAATCCCAGCACTTGGGAGGCAGAGGCAGGCAGATTTCTGAGTTCAAGGCCAGCCTGGTCTACAGAGTGAGTTCCAGGACAGCCAGGGCTATACAGAGAAACCCTGTCTCGAAAAACCAAAATAAATAAATAAATAAATAGAAGGTGACAACAGCCTGCTCTCTCAACCAGAACTCTCCCAGAATCTAGGATTCACTTTAAAAAGAACCAAGTTTTAGGTGTTAAAAACAAGTACTCTTACCCATGTAGAGGATTCCATCTGAACTTCGGCATGGGGATGCCTGAACCAATTCTGGGATGGTAAAGGGAAGTTTCTTTAAAAAAAAAAAAAAAAAAAAAAAAAAGGAAAGAAAAGAAAAAAAAAAGAAAGACAGGAAAGAAATAAGTTAATTAAGTCTTGTGAAATTAATTTTATCAAACATGCTGTTTCTGTTACCCAGTTCTTTTAAAAACAGAGAAGCACATTGCAGATGGGAGTTTCTAGTTGAAACCTAAGAAAGAGGTTCTGGGCTTTCACATCGACTTCCAACAGCCCCTGGGTTCTTCCGTCTCTGAACTCTGTACACAAACTCATTTATTTGACACAGGATATACAGGTCCCTCAGGTCTCCTGTCCAGGTATTCCGAGGGTGGCATAAATATTTTCTGAGAAGACTACACAAATATGGAGAGTTACAGTCTTGGCTTTTTTTTTTTGTTTTGTTTTTCTTTGTTTTGTTTTGTTTTTTAAACTGAGACACGGCCGGGTGGTGGTGGCGCACACCTTTAATCCCAGCACTTGGGAGGCAGAGGCAGGCGGATTTCTGAGTTCGAGGCCAGCCTGGTCTACAGAGTAAGTTCCAGGACAGCCCAGGCTAGACAGAGAAACCCTGTCTCTAAAAACAAACAAACAAACAAACAAACAAAAGAGAACATTAAAAAATAAAAAAAATAAACTGAGACACGGATTCTCTGTGTAATAACCCTGACTTTCTTGGAACTCGCTCTGTAGACCAGGCTGGCCTCAAACTCACAGAGATCCATTTGTCTCTGCCTCCCAAGTGCTGGGATTTAAGGCATGCACCACCATGCCTGGGGCCAGTCTTGGATATTTTAAGGGAGAAAGAAATCTCCTGTCTTCAAAATCTGACCCAAAGACAGCCAGGCTAGGCAGAATGACAATGCCTTTACCATGGCATTGATGCTGAAAAGAAGCAACTTAGAAGTTCAAGTTTCAAGGGAAGGAGAAGCCATGGTTGCATGGGCAACACAAACATCTGAATTTTGGTGTTTTCTTCAGTAATTCTCATTCAAAACAGAGCCTTTGGGTTATAAAAAGGAAGTTATGGTAGGTGCCGGGAAAAGAAACTCTAAGAACGCCTAACGTTTCAACACATTTCATCATAAACTGCTTCTTCTGAGCCCACAGCTGACCTCTGATGCCCTTCTGGCCACCACTTGTTTTGGTGAACTCTATTTTTGGAATGGGCCCTGAAACTATGCAGATACCTACTGTTAGCTTCTACTACACTGTCACCTTTTCTCCAAGCAAGAAAAGACTTCTTGGTAGTGTTAATAAACAGAACCATAGGTAGTAATTAACTATCTGCATTTCCCCCATCATTCCAACATTCAAACTAAACCTTAGAAAAAGGAAAATGCCAGCAAAAGGTAGCAATGCCTAGAGCTTGCAGACGTTTCTGGAATCAGAAAGTCCTTGTCTGTCCAGCGCTCTAGAGTCCTATGCTCCAAGACAGGCACTACCACAGCTCTGAGGACATCCTTGGGAAATCACACCTCTTCAAATCCAAACACTAATCCTGGAAGCTTTGGTCTTGGTACATTCCTTGACTTGTCTTTTCTATACCTCTAAAATGGGGGCAACACTCATGGACTAACAAGAAGTTCAAATGAGATGACTTACACCAATCACTCCACACTATTTCTAGCAAGCAAAATGCTTAAAACACAGATGTGTTTCCTGTGATGTGGAGAGAAACCAACACAAAGACATGTGAAGGGTGAAGTGCATGCAGCTCCACCCCCAGCCTTGTCTTTGTCCGAGTCAGCCCAGGTGCTCGAAACCTAATTTTAAAATACCCATTTGGGAGCCCACAATACACTTAAGAGTCTAGACCAAGGGTTTCCATTCTTGGCTGCACCTCAGAACCACATGAAGGCTTTTCAAACTTCGGGGTGAAGCATAACATATAAGCAGAATGGGATTCATAAGCATAGCTCAGTATTTTGCACCAAGTAAACTATCTGTCACTAACATCCTGATCAGACAGAGAGAGAAAGCATCTCAAGCTCCTTGGAAAGCCCCTTCTTATCCTTTTGTTGCTATTGACTCTCTGGGGTAACTATTATCTTTTATTTATTTATTTATTTATTTATTTATTTATTTATTTTATTTATTATTATTTTTTTTTTGGTTTTTCGAGACAGGGTTTCTCTGTATAGCCCAGCTGTCTTGGAACTCACTCTGTAGACCAGGCTAGCCTTGAACTCTCGAACTCAGAAACCCACCTGCCTCTGCCTCCCAAGTGCTGGGATTAAAGGCATGCACGACCATTGCCCAGCTTGTTTTTGTTTCTTAAATGTAGATGTTTGGATTTTGTTTCTGTTTTCCAAATGGTGTAGACTACCAATACTTTGTGGCCTCCTCTCTTCAGGAAGAAAAGCTCTTGATCCTTTACTTAAATTTATGGTTGGTGTATTTAAAAGTATCCTATTTTTAAAAAATCATTATGGGGGCTGGAGAGATGGCTCAGCAGTTAAGAACACTGACTGCTCTTCTGGAGGTCATGAGTTCAAATCCCAGTAACCACGTGGTGGCTCACAACCATCCGTAATGAGATATGATGCCTTCTTAAGGAGTGTCTGAAGACAGCTACAGTGTACTTACAATAATGAATAAATAAATAAATAAAACCTTTGGGCTGGAGCGAGAAGAAGGGAAGGGGAAAAATCATTATGGGCTGGTGAAATGGCATATCTCACATATTCACTGTGGCATGAATGTGTGTATACATATACAAATAAATAAACGTTAATAAAAATGTAAAACATTTGTAAATGCTGACACACTCTAAGACCATGAGGCTGTTCTATTACTTACTCCTAACGCTTTATTATCTTGCATCTCACATTTATTAAAAGATACACAATTTGTCTGAAACTGATTTTACTCAGATGGATGTACACTCAAGATATCTTATTTCCCCATGGATATCCCACTGATCTCTTTGTATCTTCACCCCCTTGTGCTGGGAGCAAACCCAGAACTCTGTATATACAAGACAAGTGTCTGCCTACTGAGCCATATTCCCATCCCATTTATTTATGACACTACTTATTAAAAAGGTAACCCCTGCCAACGTGTCATCTTTGTCACAAGTCAGGTGGTCACCTATGTGGGTTAATTCATACATTTTCTTTTCTGGAGAACTAAAAGAAAAAGGCTGATAACTTAGTCCAATAGTGGGACTGAGACCCAGGTTCAGTTGTCTTGTTGTAGGTATGGACAAGGTTTCATAGCTCTAGTCTTACTATGTAGTCTGAGCTGACCTGGAACTTTCCAGATAGACCTGGCTAACCTCAAACCCATGGAGATCTGCCTTTGCCTCCTAAGTGCTGGTATTAAAGACATGCACCACAAATCTGGCTAGGCTCAGCATGTCTTTTAAAACTTTTTAAAAAATAGTTTATTTATCTTTATATGTACAAGTATTTGCCAAATTATGTTTGTACATCACATGCATGCACAGCCCGGGGTAGGCAGAAGAAGGCATTAGATGCCCTGGAACTGGGGTTACAAATGGTTGAGCTGCTGTTTTGCTGCTGGGAATTGAACATAGGTCCCCCGAAAGAGCAAGATCAACCCTTGAGCCCAACAGGCTCAGTAATTTTTTTTTTTTAGCATGTCTCAGGTTATTATAATGTGTAACAAAAACTGACAATTACTGGTCTAGAATCCCAAGTGGAGATGGTGGTAGACTATCACATGCTTTCCCTAAAAAAGAAGCATATTTCTCTGATATGAGAGGGGTGAAGACATTATATTTTTAAAACTTTTTATGACATTCATTTATCTGTTTGTGTTATGAGGGGGATTGAATGCATGCCACAGCGCATGTGTGGAGACCAGAGAACAACTTAGAGGAGTCAGTTCTCTCCTTCTGCCACACGGGTCCTGGGGATCCAACCTGGACTAGCAGGATTGGCAGGAAGTGTCTTTAACTAGAATCAGTAAACTAGAATCAGTTAACCCAGTAAACAGTATTTCATACTACATTTCTTGCTCTCAAGTTGAAGGTCTCTAGTTAGAGTAAGCATGTCACTATAGTGAGCCCTCTATACCTCCAGTGTATTATCTGGGACAGCAGTATCTGCTGGTGTGAGTCTGGGATTCTGAACTACAGCTATACAACCAAAAACTCATTTAGGGGCTGGAGAGATAGCTCCTCAGCAGGTAAACGTGCTTACCATGCAAGCATGAGGCTCTGAGTTCAAACACCCAAAGTGCACCTAAATGCCAGACACATAGTTGAATGTCTATAATCCCAACAGTCCTACAGGGAGATGGGAGGCAGAGGGAGGAGAATCACTGGAAGTCTATAGATCAGCTATCCCGGCATACAGAGTGGAAAAACAATAGCCGCCTATCTCAACTAAGGTAGAAGAGAAGAGCTAATACCTAAGGCTGTCTTCTGACTCTGTATGTGTACTGTGACACACACACATGCATTCACAAACATGAATATGCAAACACATACTACACACACAGAATTTTTTTAAAAAACAAAAGCTAATTTAGGAAGCTCTAAAAAAGCAGTGATGCTATACCAGTTTATCTGAATCAGAAACCCCAGCAGTTTGTATAAAGCTCCCAGGTGGTCTCACATAGAGAAGCAGGTAAGGACTCAGTTAAGAACCTCAGAGTATACCAAGAAGCTAAATATTCTCACCGTCAGGCCTTCGTTGTTCTTGCCTCCAAGTGTGTACAAACTGCCATCATTGGGATCTGGGAGGAAAGCAGGCCTAGAAATTAAATTAAAAATGTCAATGATAAACTATAGCCCAGGACACAGAACAAAAGACCAAAATGATCAAAATCATGCAGAGATTTGGCATGGGGGATGAATGAGTGAGTACATGGATGACAATGTTACCAACTGCTTTTTTCACATCAGCCACAAGAAACTAAGATACCCCACGGAGGTACATATTCTACTTAAATGGAGAAAAATAAATAACCTGAGAAAGAAGAGTCACATGCTGTGAATGATGATGAAATACATGAAAAGGCTTAGCAAATCTATTTTCAACTTCCATGTCCACTGTACCTGGACATCGACAATCAATATTTAACAGCAACAGTTGCATGCATCTCAGACCAAACCCAAAGTTTTATTAAAGATTTTCATAAATGTGCACATGGCATGTTTTGATCAGATCCATTTGCCACATCCCCTTCCTACTACTCCTACATGCTCCTGCTATGTATATGCACTGCACTTATGGCTGCTGGATCTCCTGGAACTGGGGATACAGACGTGCATGCTGGGAACTGAATCCAAGTCCTCTGCAGGAGCAAGCGGGAAGTGCTCTTAACTGCTGAGCTATCTGTGCTCCCCTCTTTTTAGTTTTTAAAAAACAATCCACTGAATCTAATTAGTGTTGTCAATATCTACTTGTCATTTTCAACAAACACTTATCTGTTAAGTGACAGCAATAAATAAAGACCCTGAAGCCTGACATCAGAAACATGTTAGGGATACAGATCAAAGTCTCTGTCGGTAGGATCCCACAAGAAAATGAGAGGCTGAGCTTGTGTCAGGCGAATGTGCTAAAGAGGGAACTCTAATTAGTGCCAATGAGGAATTCTTTTTCTAATCTCTTCTCAACTTGGGTTGTTCCATCATTTCAGGCTCTTACAGGTAACAACACTCCCGTGAATATGCACACACGGTAAGAACAGGTTACCTTTGTGGATGGCTCTGTGCTGCCTTCCTCTCTGTGATGTGACACAGTGAACAAAAAGAGATCCAGGGGATGGAGAGATGGGTTCAGAGTTAAAAGCTGTCTACTCTTCTAGAAGGTCCATGTTCGATTCCCAGAACCCACATGGTGACTCACAACTGTCTGTTAACTCTAATCCCAAGAGATCTGATGCCCTCTCAGGCCTCCATGGGAACCAAGCAACACATGTGATACATAAATATGCATAGAGGCAAAACAACCATACACATAAAACAAGCAAACAAATAAATTTTTAAAAATGAATAAGTAAATAAAATTTAAACACAGAGATCCAGACTTTAGAAGTTTAGTTCAAAACTCAATTTAAGTTCTATCAAGTTGCTGGACACAGTGACACACACCTTTAACCACAGCACTGAGAAGGCAGAGGAAGGCAGGTCTCTGCAACTGAGGCCAGCCTGGTCTACAGAGTGAGCTCCAGGACAGCCAGGGCTGTATAGTGAGATCTTGTCTCAAGAAAAAAAACAAACAAAAAAAAAACAAAAAAAAAAAAAACAAAAAAAAAAACCAAGAAGTTGCATTTCAATCAAACCTTTTTAATTATGACTGTCCTCTTCCTCATGCAAGGAACAGAGGCTTCTATCAGAACATCTGGAAATTTTTTATGTCTTAAAAATTCTTGTTACACTTAAGCTCATGCATATATTTGTGCCCCGCAACTAAATAAGATGGTAAGTCAAAAGGAAATACCAAGGAGAAAAGGAAACTTACTCTTCCACGTGTGTTGGGACCTGCAGAACTGGATCTGTGCAAAAGAACAAGAAGCATCATCAGAAGGGCTCTGAAATGTCAGGGCCCTGGAGGTTTCCCAGGACCGATTTATAATGTACCAACAGCTAAGGCTGACCTGCACTACATAAGTCATGTGAGGGCACTTCAGGAAACACAGAGGCACAAAGGTATGTGCTTACAATTCTTACCAAGTGTACATAGCACATCTAAGGTACATATAAGTACACCTAAGGGCTGGAGAGACGGCTGGGTGGTTCAAAGCATTTGTTGATCTTGCAGAGGACCCAGGTTGGATTCCCAGCACCCACATGGCAGCTCACAGCCATCCATAACTCCAGTTCCAGGTGATCTGATACCCTCTGAGGACACCAAGCACATATGGTGCATATACATACACAGGTAAAATATTCACACATAAATAAATCTAACAAATTTTAAATATTTTACTTTTAAAATTTTAAAATATTTGATTTTATTTAATACATGAGTGTTTTGCCCACATGTATGCCTCTGTGCTATGTTCATAAAAAGCGTCTGCAGAGACCAAAAGAGAGCACTGGAAGCCTGGCAGTGGAGTTACAGATGATTGTGAATCGCCAGATGCATGCTGGATATTAAAGCCAGATCTTCTAGAAGAGCAGCCAGTGTTCGTAACCCTGAGCCATTCTCCAGTCCCCACCACAGGAATTTCTAAAATCTGAATCATTAGTTTGTTGTTGGGATACCTAGAGTAGGAGTAGATATTCCCACTAGGAAATGCCACACTTTGTAACTGGTGCTAATTGGATAGTAAATGCCCTTGCAGCAGCTTATGGAATCCTACTGGCTTCAAGTATGGATTCTCTTTGATCCACTAATTGTATTTCTATAAAATCTAGCTTAAAAGAGTATATACAAGAAAAGCTATTTGTATAGAGATGTTCACAATAGCATTATAAATGAAGTAAGTATTCTTTGATATGGTTAAATTATCTGTTTGGCAGAAAATTAAGGTCTCTTAAAAAGTCTAATAAAATGATTGGGTTTTTTTGTTTTTTTCATTTTGTTTTGAGACAAGAGCTGACTAGATCTGGCTGGCCTCACATAAATGGCTGCCTCTGCCTCCTGAGTGCTGGGATTAAAGTTGCACACCACCAGGCCCAGTGCTAATAAGCCTAAGTTTTTCTGCTTCTGTAGTCATGTAGTCAGGTAAAAAACACATTTACATAGGTTATAATGAAACAATTCAGAAAACTTTCAGCACAACAGAAACACACTAGATGGAAAGTTCAAAGAACTAATAATCTTCTTTTAAAATATGACCAAATTTCACTTTTTCTATTTTTCTCAAATTTTCTACAAGACTGGATTTTACTTTTTTAATTAGAAAGAAATATGGGTTTTTTTTTTCTTCTCTGTTTACAGCAGTAATTCCATGTTTATAGCAGTAAACTCTGGCCGAATTCCTCTTCCGATATTCTCCTGGGCATAACCAAAGACAAGGCTGCTGATTGGCTGGGATGGATAGTGTGGCGAGAGGACCTGAGTAGCAGTAGCAGGCTGTCACATCTGAAGACCTCAAGGAAGAAACTGCATAGTGAGGCAGTATTGCCAACAAATGCTCACAGCAATAACCAAGCCATACACTCCAGAGAGACGGAAACATTCTAACAAGATTTTGTATGCAGAGTTCTAGACTCAGGAGACTCATGGTGACAGACAGTTGTCTGACCCTGTCACTTGGGACTCTCCTGTGAAGTAGTCTTTCAAGCCTTATCATATGCTGACTGTGCTTACAATGGAGACACACACCAGATGTGGTTTGCAGGCAGCAAACAAACAAATCGACTAAACCAAAGGACCTGCAGGAAACGGGGTGAACTTTCAGTCAGTAAGCACACGTTTATCTTTCCCATTAATCACCTCTCAGTTCACTCTCATAAACAGACTGATGCAAGAGACAGGAAATAAAAGCACACGACACTCACTCAACTGAAATAAGGCAGGCAAGGTGCAATTACAGCCCAGAATCTCCACCTCAACCCCAAAGCCAGGCAAGCCAGCAAAAGCAAGAATGTCAGACTCCAAAGAAAGCACAGCACAGTAAAAAGCCATCTTTTTTGCTCCCTTCAGCCACTTAATGGTGCCACAGGTAAAACAGAGGGAGAAGGTACTGCTAAAATGTAGCAATTACAACAATAAGACATGGATGTTAAAGTGTGTGAATTCCTGCTCATAACTTGGTCTTTGCTCTACAATGGTTGCTTAGTCTCATAGACTTCAGAGACAGATTTCCCTAGCTTTTTACGGGTTATCTGCTGGCCCTTCAATTTTCTGAGGACTCGGGTCTTAAGATATACCCTGAATCATAAGACACAGAATATCAGTGGAAAACAGAAGGTCCCCTTTGCCAAAAACATCAGTGGTGAAGGAACATTCTTGCTTTCTAGTCTTAGGAAAAAATAAACTCTAGTGGTGTGGCCATGTGTTTTCCTTTACACTTGTTACATACTCAGTATAATGGAGTACCTGGACATGTTTCTGCTACAGTGTGGACCAGGTTAAAAACTCATTTAATAAGACACCTCTGACAGAGGCAGGCAAAGTGCTACGCAGCTTCTGAGGTGTAACGATGGCCTGATATTGATACTTTCCTTCTTAAAGAATAATTGGTAGCCAGGCATGGTAATATATATGTATAATTCTAGCACTTGGAAGCATGAGGCAGGAGGATTCAAAGCTCAAGCCTGGGCTAGTGAGACCTTGTCTGGTGCAAGGAGAATCCAAGATTTGCTTGAAAATAATACAGAAAAGAGTTGTGTATCGGGAAGGTTAGTAAATAGTGGCTGACTGCTGGTAACTTGTTAGAAATAGAATCAGGAACATGGAGTCTTTTCCCTATTTTCTGTATATATGCTTGGAATTTTCTACATTAATAAAGGTTAAAGAATATATTATATGGAAAAAAACCTATTTTCAAAATAAACAGAAAACAAATATAGTGTGCTCAAGAAGCCAGTCTTGGGTGAAAGATAGACTAATTTGGAGGGTGGAAGCTGAGGTGCTACCAGCAGATAACCCGTAAAAAGCTAGGGAAATCTGTCTCTGAAGTCTATGAGACTAAGCAACCATTGTAGAGCAAAGACCAAGTTATGAGCAGGTCACATTTTTGTGACCCCCCCAGCAAAAACAAAAACAAACATCACTTGAAAACATGGTGGAAGATCAGCAGGGAAAGTGGTCTTTGATTTACTAATGAGAACTACATCAGGCAAGACTTTTGCTTCGAGTTTCAGCCGGTGAAAAGAAACCATGGGCAACTATAAGGCTGTGAGCAAATACTCCTGCCAAACAGGCCAGTCCATCCATATGGAACCAGGTAAGGGCGAATGCCAACCTCTCTGAGCTGTTTTACTTACAGAAACAATAATAATAATTTTTTAAAAAGAGGGTAAAATGGGTGTAACTCAAGGAAAAGGGGAGGTTGTGGGTAGAGCTATGGGAAAATAGCACTGAAAATAATGCTGGTCTCTCCCAAGGTCACCTTGGGAAGAAACCAACCTGCTCACTGTTGCCCGGGAAGGAAGTGCCACTGGATTAAACTCCACCTGCTGGTGTCTAGCATCCTGGCCAGGTCAGGTGACACTGCTACCATACTGTGCTAATCTAATCCTTGTTAACTGGAGACAAAACTGGGAAAGCAGATGCTCATACTTCCTTGTCTGAGCCCATCAAGGCAGAAATGTAAAAATGCTCCTATCTCCAACAGAAGTGAGGACTGCCTTGCCCCATCTGGAGGGGCATCTATAACGAGCCCTAACCACAAGGTGGGGGACGGCCTAGGTCCCTATTTTCTCAGAGTCATCTGGACATTTCCACTAGGTGCTACCAGCACCTCAGCTTCCACCCTCCAAATTAGTCTATCTTTCACCCAAAACTGGCTTCTTGAGCACACTATATTTGTTTTCTGTTTATTTTGAAAATAGGTTTTTTTTTCCATATAATATATTCTTGTCAAGGTTTTCTCCTCCCTCATCTCCTCCCAGATGCTCCTCACTTTCCCACCCATCCAACTCCAGCCCCACTCTCCTTTTTAGAAAACAAATTGGGGAGGAGAGATTGTAGAGCCAGAGGGGTAAAGGACACCACAAGAAACCCCACAGAACCAACTAAGCTGTGCTCAGAGGGGCTCACAGGACTGACCTAGGCCCTCTGCACGTATGTTATAGTTGTGTGGCTTGGTCTTCTTGAGGGACTTGTAACAGTGGGAGCAGGGGCTAGCTGTCTCTGATTCTGTTGCCCACTTTTGGGATCCTTTCTTCCTACTAGGTTGCCTAGCCTTAATAGGAGAAGAATAGGAGAACAGGAGGCTTATTAAACTTGATGTGACATGGGAGGCCTGCCCTTTGCTGAAGAGAAAACAAGGAGTGAATGTTGGGAGGGTGAAGACTGGGAGGAGAGGAGGGAGAGGAAACTGTGGTAGGGATGTAAAAGAAACAAGGAAAGAGAAGAAGAAAGGAAGGAAGGAAAAACAAACAAACAAGCCCAAGAAGCAATACACACACAGAGACAGACACACAAAAGACATCTCCAATGCCAGGACTGAGTTCGCTGCATTATTAACAAAACTCAACTTCTTAAACCCACAGGAGGCTGCATAATTGAATGTGGGGATCAGGAAGACTTTGACAACAGTGAAAGTTTTCTGAACACCAAGGTGTCCTTGGCAGCCCTCACCCATGCACAACCTCACTGCAGCCTTGGTCCTGAACACACACATATACTTGCACCCTGAATGCCATCATGCCACACAGCATCAGTTAATACTGCCTGAAATGCTGTGGCTCAAATCAGAGCCTGTATGTTATGGACATTATTTTCATTGTACATTCAAAGTTTTCTGTTCTCATAGAAAAATAACGGTTTAAAGTCAATTATGGTAGTATATATCTAAAATACCCAAATTTGGAAGGTGGTACAGTGGAGAGAAATCAAGAGTTCAAATGTCATCTCCAGCTGCACAGTAAGTAAATT